AATCGTCTCGTGAGCAAACGGAAGGGGGGAGGCAGACTGGTAACGTCAGTGAGGGTGGAAGGCGGTATACGATTAGGCGAGACAGCGGTGCTCCAGGTGTTCTAGTAGTCGGATCATATGCGGTTTTGTTCACAAGGGCGGTGAGGTGGAAACCGTCACAGTTAGAATTTGGTAGCAGATGGCGCGATTCGATCGCGGCCTAGGTATGAAGCGGGGATTTTAGTCCAGAGACGTCCGTCGTCGCAAGGTTTCGCCTATCGAAAGCCTAGAAAGGGATTCCATGTCACTATGGCACTGTATGTATTCATACCTAGCTTGGGAATAAGAATATCATTGTTTTCTTAATCGTTTCTCATCATTAGCGCTACTTCACAGTCGGGGGCTCGCGGTCGGCACAGGTTAGCCGGACACCGAGCAGCATGGACACTCTGGCGAAACGTCGCAGCGATAGCGAATTTAATTCCGGTAAGCCATCAGATATGATTCAAGAGGTCCATATATGCGGGTGAGAAGGTATCAATTCACTGAGCAGGATATTCATGGTGTCATTCTTATCTGTTGTCGAAGGTCCCTAAACTTTCCTGCACGACAACTTTGAGAGGGTTCCGATTGTTATATTTTAACCCATGCATCAATCCATATTCCATCATGCACTTGACAAATGATGTGAGAAGAGCTATTCCCGGCAGTGCAATAATCACATGTAGACCCACCCGTCATGTCATCTCACTCCTCCATGGGGATATCATCCTCGTCCTCCTCGTCAAAACCACCCTCGAATCCCTGGGCGTATTCCTCCACCTCACTCCTCCTCAGCCCCTTCCTCCGACTCTGCGCTATTCATACCGCCCATCTTCTTGTCATCAGGCTCCTAGATTGAAAACTGAATCGGCATGCTGGTAACATCCCAGAACACAGCAGCCTCCAGAAATCTGTCAACTGCAGCCGCCAGAGGACAGCAGCGATGAGGGATCTCCGCGCGAAGGTGCTCTGCAGCAAAGCTGCGGAAACGCTGCCGCGCCTCAATGATAGCCATAAAAAGGGCCTGAAAAATACGGGGGTTGAGGAGCTCCCCAAGCTCGGTGCCCACACGAGCCTGTTCGAGGAAGGACTCATCCTCCCAGTCCCAGATGTCGAAACCGTCCTCGCCGACGCCAGTCATGCCGATGCCGGCCATGAAATCGACTGGGTCGAGCATCGCCGTGTTGTTGCGCACAAGGCGCGTGGATGTGTCGACTATGTCGACAAGCAGACGCTCAACCTCCTGCTTGGCGGGGCTCGAGGTCATCCTCATGTTGGGATGTACCCGCTCAACGAGCACCTGCAGAACCGCGACACCAACAACATCACGGCGCTCAGGCCGCAGGATGTTTCGGCCGTGGTGGTAATTCCAACGGAGCCCCATCTTGGGGAGGATTTGGTAAAGAGAGGGCGACCGGGTGGGAGCAGACATTTTGAAGTGAAGTACCTGTACTCAACAAAGGGTCAGCGGTTATCCATTATGCTCATGATTTTACGATAGTTCATGTGAGAAATCGCTTAACCCTTGCGACATGGTTAGAGTTGGCTTTGAACTTACGTTCTGGTGGGGAGCACGTGGGTCAGAACTTGATCAAACGCGTGATAACGTCAACGAGAACTGAAAGAGCGTTGAGGTCAGCAATTTATATACTGTATAATAAGCGCCTGCGAGGATATATCTTCCGTACTTATATGAAGTGTGTGCGCTGTTATGTTAAGATGATCTCGTCGTGATTCTCGCGGTTGTCGAGGAAGAGAAGAAGTTGTGGTCGAAGTTGAAAATTTAAGGAGGGAGAGAGAATCAGCGAGTACGAGTGACGGGATCGAGGGCAGGAGAGAGAATTGGTGCCTGAAATTTCTCTCCAGCTTTGCGTTTGCTATCTTTCCATTCTACCAATAGCAGAATAGCGAAAGCGCGTATCGTGTTCGAGATGAGATGAAAAGCACATTTTTTGCTCTTTGCTTGTTATTATACAACATGTAAGGTAGGCACGGCAACCGAGAAGGAACTTGAGATCTCCACTAATGTAACCGGTCCTTAAGGGCAGGCTGATAGCAGATACCGTCATATCTTCCATGATGCTCATACCACTTGTGCCAGTGTCTGCTGTCGGAGCAGTTGAGATTCAGTGTTCCGAAACGGGCGTATTGTTGAGAAAAAAAAAAAAAAATTTAAAATTTTGAAAAAAATCAAAGAAAAAAAATTATAAATAAAGAAGAATTTAACTGAGAAAAAGAAAAATTAAAAAAAGCAAATATTAAAAAAAAGAAGTCGACGGTCATTATTTGGGTCAAGATACGACGTAGATGAAACATGCGGGAGCCGGGCTCGATTACATAGTTCATGGCTAGCTTCGTTGTGGCAAAAGTGCGAACTACTTTGTGACAAAGCTTTGAGGAATGAAGGATACCCATGCTTGAACAACACTTCCAACTCGTCTATAAGTAGACTGTCATTCTTGGATCATGTTTGCTGAGCTGGAGCCATCTTTAGGTAACTTTCCCTTTAATCACCTGATCGTGAGAGTAACGTAGAGCCCAATCCCCTCCTCCTTTTGTACTTCTAGAACGAGCTCAAGAGATTTCCTCGAGTAGATGTATGTGAGCAAGTGAGCGGTCACGTTAATGCCCTTGATGACGAGGATGGTAAACCGTAAGGTCAAGTTCCCTTGTTCAAAGGACTCCAAGTACATCTGGTGGATGCGGAAAGACGAGAACATATAGGAACTTATTTACCTCTATAGAGTAGGAACGAAAAAGAGAAACAGAAATCAGGAAGACCACACCTACTGGAAGCGAGGTGCCCCTGAGCGGGAGCACATTGAATAGCCTCAAAGGCACGGTTGGCCAACAACATCGAGCTTGCAAACAACACGTCCGCGCTAAGGGACACCTCCAATGCAGGGGCATTTGGGGAAGGATCATAGCGCCCATCACCTCCTTGCTTCTTCATGCTACATCCTCGCATAGGTGGCCATGCATTGTGATAGGGCTGAATTTATATTGTATTGTGACACGGGGTTTCCCCCGTTAGCACCTTGTCTGTTAAAGGGAAGTGGAGCCCCATTGAGGGAAGCGTCCACCTTCGCTGCAATCAAGCATATAAGGCTTGACTGACAGCCAGTCAACTCTAAGATAGAGTTAGATAGAACAACAATCAACACATCTATCATTTCGCTCTACGCTGGTCTCCACGCATCATATTGTGAGGAAGGAAATCAGCCCATCTTCCAAGCACCAGGTGGTAAGTTGTCACCGGACAGGAGATTCGGAGAAGCCTATGGTGAAAAGATTGAAGCTGTGTACTGCGGGCGCTTCGGACTTTCAAATTCAAGCAAGTTCGACAACTGTGCCGCCTTGAGCGGGCAGAGTGACTTGCCGGAACGTACCGACCAGCCGGGACATTCTTGCCGGACGTAGCACCCCCTACAGCCCAGCCCAGCCCCATTGACTGCCACCTAGCCCCAAGCCTGCAGATAGGCCCTATATAGAGAAGGTCAAGTGCTGAGGTCTCCAACAAGGACGATACCCTAAGGTCAACTTTGGGACAATGGCTGAGCGGTCATTGAGGCACGCCTGAGGCGCCCTCACCTTGAGGCGATGGATTCCATTCCCACATGTGGCCCCAGTTCTTTAAACAGTTGTAGTTGGCAGAACCTATCCTGTGCTTACGCGCGAAGTCCATGCTGTCACACTCCATAAGTCAAGTATTGTTCCTTTGTTACGTTTTTTTTAATGTTTTTGGGTCTGTTCCCCTTTATTAGAAAAATATACGCTGGGGTTTGTTTACTACTTCGCCGCTGCCTGTCCACGCACATCTTGTCATTTAGCACCTTTTTCCTCTATCAATATCCTCTTGCGCGAATGATTATGATTCTCAACTTTGTAGCAATATAGCAAGGACATTCCACCATTATGATTGTTGCCGTGCGATGCGTGTGAAAGAAAGCTGCGTTGGAAGAACCCGCAATCAAGATCGACAAGCTGGATGTAGGCAGACCCTCGGATGTTTTCATGGAGATTTTCTTGCTGACCCCTTTCCTGAATCCGCACATTGTAGGTATACAGGCCAATGTCGTGCCTTGTGGCACTACTGGCAATGTGAGGCCACATCCTAATGCTACGGGCCAAATCGACACCTGCATGTGCCAGGCCTATGGCATCGATGGACGTTGGCAAAAGTAATGTACACATTGAACGATCTAAGGGAGACCTTTATACAAGCTTGAAAGGAATAAACTCATATTCGTCATGCCTCTCATATCCATTGGTGATATCCTCCTCGCAGCGGGCAAGTAATGCGTGTCAGACGAGGGTCGTTGGATCCATTTTGGTGGAGGCTCCCGCAGTCCCGCCGCTCCACTGAGGTGCATACGCTAACCCAAGTCATAACTGGCGCCCCACGTGACAGGGGGATGTGCTTGGCTGTGACACGGCATTCCGATGACTCTCTTTTGCTGTTTCCTTGATTTGCATATTCATCTGCCCCCTCCATCCAATTCACGGCTGCTTCAGTATCATGTCCTTAACCTCACACTGATTGCCGCGCATTCTCACGCACAAGACTTTTTCCCGCTGATTTCCCCTGCTCCTGCACCTCATACATTTGCATCTCCTGCATCTGCCACGTTCGTCCCGTCCCGTCTCCATCGGTTCCTGACTCCGCTACCCCGCCATTTACGTCATACGCAATGGCATCCTCGACCGCACAGTCTGGGCCAACACGGGGACCTTTTGAGCCACCGGTACCAACACCACAAACAGAACTGAAACAGCCGCCAAAGCGACCCAAATGGTGCCTCACCGAACATCTCCTGACAACGTACGGGTACGAATTCCAGACGGCCACACAGCATCCGTTTCTCGAGGCAGCTGCCAAGGGTGAGCTCCCCAAGGACGTCCTGAGTCGCTGGCTCGCCAACGACAGGCTGTACATCCACAGGTAGGCCGCTTCTCTCATCACTCAAAGCCAACTGGCATTGACACGCTTCAGTTATATCCGCGCCGCCGGAAAGCTTCTTTCTACCATCGACTTGCCCCAGAAGATCCCGGCGCCCAAGCAAGATGGATCCGAGCCCGAACCCGAGCAGTGGGAAACCCAGCTGGTGGACTGGCTGATCGAAGCCCTTGGCGCCGTCCGCAGAGAGGAGAGAATGTTCATCGAAGTTGCCGAGCGTTACGGCTTGAAAATTGACCTCACTAGTCCCGCCGCAACAGCGAAGAGCGTCAGTACCAGCACCAGTACCAGTGTCGAACACCATCTCCACGCCCCTGCCGCCAACGTTCTCACCATTCCCGATGAGCAAAAGCTCCCTGGCTTGCTGCAGATTTCCGAGCTCTTCTCCACCATCATACCTGCACCCATCCCCGTAGCACCCGCGCGCGGTCTCGTCGTTGCCGTATCCGCTGACAAGTCATCGCCCGACGACCCGTCCTCTACCCCTGATCCTGACCAGATCGCGAAAGCCAGCGAGAGTGAGAAGGACAAAGAATCACAGCCTGACGATGAAGACGAACCAGAGGAGCAACCAGTTCATCCTCCTCCCGCTCTACCATGGCTCGAAGGCGCTCTCACCTTCTATGGCACCGAGCTCGCCTACTTAGCCGCCTGGTCCTATGCTAAATCTCTACAAAACAAATATTCTGCGGGCGCCACCTCCCGCTCCGCTGGCGCCCAAGGCCAAGAGTCTTCGTCCTCAAACAGCGCCCCCAGTGCCCCGAGACAATATACAACGCCCCCGCATACCTTCACTACCACAACTCCTGTCACTTCCCCCGCCCCATCCCGCGAAGCGCTTTCCGCATTCTCCTCGCCACACGTCAGCATTCAGCCGTTCCAGCCCCCTCCTCCCCCGAACAGCGCTTCCGGCGATAGATCTGCACCGGGTACGCAGGATGCGGATGGCGGCGCCCTGAGAAATGAGTTCATCCCCAATTGGAGCAGCGTGGAATTTGCACTCTTTGTTAACCGGCTGGGACGAATCATCGATGGTGCCGTGTCCGAGTTACTCGAAGCTGCGGGTGGAGAAGGCCCGGTGGCGAATGCGGCTAAGGGGGCTATCCTGAGGAGAGTGGAGGGTAGATGGAAGAGCTTGATGGTTGCCGAGGCGTCGTTTTGGCCCGATATCTAGGAGGTCTTGGGCACTCTTGGGTCTTATAAAGTTGAATTATGGCTGGGATGAAGACATCAAAATTCTATGGTTTTATGGACGGGATCGTAGCATGACCGAATGTTGTTCGTCATTTTGGATATACCTCGGAGAGATTCAAAGTACGCTGAATCCGGAATATACAGAATCTTCTTGCCCTCCTGCCCTGTTTGCTGACGCCGCTGCATCGTTGACCTTGGAAGCAGCCATGTGAGTCGGTGTCTCTTTCTCCTCCTAACGTACACGCGGACACTCCCGAGGGTCTGAAGAAGGCATGAATCCTACGCCGAGCTGCTCTTACTTCTCCTCCAAGACAACCGTCTCTTCACGCCCCTCCCCATCGCCAAAGTTATGCTTTGCGCTTTGCTGACTGCCTTCAACAGACGACTTGTGTGTCTGAGCAGAGTCGGGCGTTGCAACACTGCCTTCAAGCGTGGACGTAGAATTCTGGACACCCTCGAAACACGTACCCCGCAGGAGGTCCCCAACAGAACCACGATGTTTTCTGGGGATTAAATCCGGACCAAAGTTTGGAAGTTGTGACCCGATCGAACCGGCTGCGATCTTAGAATCGGCTCTCCCACCAGTCATCCTCCCACCCCTGAGCTTCCTTCTATGGTGCTTTGACCTGGGATTCTTAGCCTGTAAACTAACCAGTCGAGAGCGCACCATCTCGCTGGACTTGTGATGCTGCTTGCTCAACTGCCGCATCTCGCGCCTGAAACGGGCATGTACCTCCGTCGCTGTATCAATTACTCTTCGAATGGTTTGTAGCTCGGCTACTTCGGCTAGGGAGAGGATGCTGCTGGCGCCAGGAATGCTGTTGCGCTCGGCGACGGTGGCGGTACACCCAGTGGCGATGGCGATGCTACCGCCCTGCGAGACGACGGAGGCGAGGGCGGAGAGTTTGTGCACCAGTTGGGAGAAGGTGTCGGTGAGGGTTGGGAGGTCAAGGAGCTGTGATGGGTTTGGATCTGGGTCCGTGGTGGGAGCGGTGGGAGTGGTGGAAGTGAGAGTCTCGCGCTGGCTGGTCTTTGTAGGGCTGGTGGCGGGCGTTGACATCGTGCTTTTTCTGTCTGACGGTTCCCTCTTGATATTAGACATGATATCTGGTGGTGATGATGTTGGGGTGGTCATGATCTGTAAGAGTGTTGAAGAATTTGTGGTAGCTGACGGAGGTGGAGGATGGGTAGAAACAAGATCTTTTATTAATTTAAATATCAGGACTGGTAGGACATGGACAACTGACAAGACTGGCGATTTGGCCGCTTGTTTGTTTGTTTGTTTGTTTTATGTATGCAAACGGAGCCTGGAACGGTAGCCGCAAAGGTAGTTGGCCGAACGAGCTGTCGGAGGCCTGTTGTGCGTTAAAAGTTTTCAATTTTGGTTGCCTATGCGCAGTTTGCATTTTACGGTTTATGTTTGGTCAATGATTATGCATATTCATGTATGATTACGGCATTCAGGGCGGGTTGTCATGAGTCTAATTTGGTGTACCAGGCTAACGAACAAACCAGCATTGAACTATACTTCTGTAGTATATAGAGGTACAATTATCAGGCCAATTTTCAAGAGCATGCTGACCGCAACGTCAATCCTGTGCTGAAGGCTCTAGGTTCTTGGAAAGCTCAGTTGACTCTGCTTCTCCAAGGTTGCCTCCCGTCGAAGAACCCTGATCCTCCTCCGCTTTCAAAATCTCCTCATCAATCCGTCTTGACAAGTCCTCGTCACTGTAACGGCCGTACATATGCCTGGCCAGCTCACTCAACTGTACGGCCAACTGCGACGGAGTCTCTGCTGAATCGCGATGGCGTCGCATGAAGCGAACTCGAGCGGCGATGAGCTCACGAAACAGCTCGGCGTAGATATGTGTTGGCATTTTGCCTCCATTGCCGTTCCAGTTAGCAAGTTTTGCGAAAAAGTCGTACTCTTTGCCGGGTGCGTAGTCGACAGCCTTGTGGTGACGGCCAACTTTCTGGTTGGCAACAAAGACGAGCATCGTCACCTCGAAGGAAATATTGCCAGGAGCAATGGGGATGTAGTTCTCTCTGAAGGAGCGGAGAATAATTTCGTCGTACTCAAGGCTGCGTAGAATGTGTGGGCGATCTTCCCATAGCATGCCCCTCATAGGTAGTAGACACTCTTTGAGGGTCATGTTTGGTCGCCAGGAAGTGGACGCCATGACTGCGACTTGTGATAACACCTGCGACTGAGCGTGTAAGTTTTCTGAGAGCTGTAGAGAAATGATTGACGGGAGCAAGGGGAGGTTGGAGACTGCGATATCGCAAAGTCAAAAGGTGTCTCAAAAGTTGGGAGCGCAGAGTTGCGTAGGTACTCGCACGCGAGCAGGGAAGGGAGTGGCTACCTTCGTGTGTAAAAAGAGCGGCCGTAATGAAGCGCTGTTGTTGGGGCTCGTCGATATGTCGAATAACACCGTTGATCAAGTCCGGAGTATGACAGCTGCCATGGACTTTGTGTGGCTGATTGTTGCCAGGGAAGGTAGACTGGAGAGAAATTGAGGGGAGGAAAGGAGAGGAAAGTGAAGGAAAGTGAAGGAAGGTGGGGCGCAGCATTCGGGAAGTTAATGACCACCAGCGTGGTGAATACATGCGGAATACGCCCCTCCAGCACTGGAAGAGAAACGGTCAGGAGCACAGGTATTAATGACTGGCTCTCACAGGTTGACTGATGGTTCCCCGTAACTCAGTACGGCTGTCTAGGCGGACGGGTCTAGGAAAGGAGAAGTGGAAAGGTTCGCTGTTGTGGCTTGTCGTCCTATCATCATTCCTAATAAAACTCGAAGTAGGCAGATCTTCCCATGAATATCTTGCTGGAATACTCGGCAAACACACCCACCCCTATTGAACTTATCGGCCACCGTCTCTCGAATATTCATGAGCTTGACAGAAAGGATTTCGCCGTCGACGGAGTGCCATATCTCCTTGTCACTGGGGGTCAACTGCAGATAGTTGCTTGGTCTAGGGAAAGCAACAATAGAGGAAAAGGAAGATGACGATATTCGTCCCCTCGGCTTCTTCTATGTCGAGAGCGAAACATCATGGTTAAGTCCCAAAGGTTTAAAAAGTAAAACGAGAGGAGGGTTTTGTAGTATGGGTCAGTGAAACTTACGAATTTGGTTTGGACCAAAATCACATCGCCTTCCATCAAGGACTTTGAGTAGGACGCTGTTGTAATGCACACAATAAAGTAAAACGAGGCCTCACTTGGGTATTTACGATAATTCCCTCATGACCTGGAGCATCTTGGAAGATCTCCATGATGATCTCTCATCTCTCTATTGCATGGGAACTTCAAATGCCAATCAATGGCCAGCACATATTACCTCTAGCTACCTTTATGGTCGAATCTTTGTTGGTTTGTCGCGCGACGGAAGTTGCGATCCCGATCCAGTTATGATAGAAACATATGCAGCTCTATGACCAGAATCACAAAGAATCCCAGTATTCTCTCGTACTTCCACTCCTCGATGGTCATGTGTCCTTGACTGCTGCACTAGCTCTCATACTCTCTCGTGGGGCAATTTAAGAGAGATCCATCGCCTCTGAACCTCCCGCCGCTCCTCCAGTTTGCTCTCCAGCCACAGGTCCCTGTCCACCCTCTGCCTTCAGGAATTCCTCCTCGAGTCGCTTTGAAAGCTCGGCATCGGAATAGTGCCCCTCTGTTTTCTTAAGAAAAATGTCCATCTTCTCGGCAACCGAGGAGATAGTTCCGGTGTAGCCCGGGTGGTGAGTCAAGAAACAGATGCGAGCGTTGACAAGCTCGCGGAAGAACTCGATGAAGACGTGCTTCGGCATGCGACGACCAATGCGGACATCTTCGGCCAGGGTGGAGAGAAAGTGGTACTCTCGTCCACTGATATCCTTGGGCTTCCCCCTCCCCCCTGGAAGAAGTCGGTAAAAACCGAGTTCTTGTCCGGCAACCATGGCCACAATGTTAAGCTCATAGCCAATGTTTCCAGGGCAAATGGGTAAACCATTCTTGAGGAATGCTTTCAAAACAAGCTTGTCGTGCTCCAGGCTGCGAAGTACGGTCGGGCGATCCTGCCACATGAAGCCCTCAAGTGGAACGCACTCTTTCAGCGACAAGTTCTCTACAAAGACGGGTCGGGACGTCATTTCGGAGGGGGTAGGTAGGTTGAGCTGTGATAATCTAGAGTCAGCTTTGGGTTTTGTGATGGATTGTCGGAGAAGGGGCATAGGTGTTGACCCTAGCGCGGTTTACTGTATGCATCTCAATGCGCTCTGAAATCTGAGGAAACCAGAGCCCGATTCTTTTTGCACGAGAAGGTGTATGAGGAAGCACTAACCTAGAGGTAGGGATATGCGGAGATAGGAGTTGTTTACCTCTAAGATCAGTTTTCGTGAGTGTCGTTCTATCACGCAGTGGCGCCAAAAGTTGAAGATACAGCGGACGGGGAATGGACCTGAGGTTCTGTTGAGAGTCGCAAAGTAAGACTGCCGTTACAGATTGTAGCGCGCAACCTGGTAGGGAAGGAGGAAGAGGTGTGCCGTGCTGGGATCAGACTCCAAAGGCTACAGCCGGACTGGAAGGAAAGTGGCAGACCATGACCGGCAGGCACACTCACGGCTGCCTGACGAGCAGTGCCTTGTGCAGTTGCAAACGAGCAAAGACGGTCACCTGATCACTCGCGGGAACGGCCCGGTACAGACTAAACTGGGCTAAGCTCAGAGGTAGAGGCACTTATAAGGGACGGTCCCAGACGTGTTTTCAACAGCGGGTGGTTGGTCGAATGGAATTTGGTAGCGCACAGTTTACCCCTACCCATTCAAAAAGTCATGGGTTCGATTCCCATGGCGGCAACTGTTTACTCAATATTTGCCCAGGCCCGCACCTTCGGGTGCACGGGGGTTACGACCGCCCACTTTGTCTCGCTCGGGCTACCGTAGTATCAGTTGTGACCGTTCGGGGGGATATCTTGGGGGTGGTTCCCTGGGATATCATGACCAACCACATATATTTTTTTCTGTTTTTCCTTTTTGGTTTGGTCCTCTCCGCTCGTCTCTTTCGTCTTGATGTTCGCAGATCACATTGATAACACGACATTTGCTACAGGTTCTGGTCCTTCCTTCGACGTATGCTAGCATGTAAATATATTGCGAACAAAGTTGTCTGCCGACCAAATAGATCACAGCATTATATCTTGGAGTATTGCATATTGATGTATTGCATGCAGCTGTATCCATAGAGGTAGTATGAAAGAAAACCTTCGTTCGCCGCGAGGAAGCTCTTGAGGATAAAAGTACTTAGGATGAAGGATCATGCCTCACTACAAGGACATGTTGAAAAAACCCGGTGCAAATTGTAGAAGTTATAGGTAGTGGAACACTCGACGCAACATCCGCAAGATGTTGGTGTCTGATCACATCCATATCAGGCGTAGTACGCACTAAGTACATCTCTCTTGTCATATTGTCACTTGTGCTCTACCCTCCCCTTAAGCGTACACGAAGCGGATGTTGATCTTCTTCTCAATAGTACCTAGAGGTACGTATGGCATGGTAGTAGAGAAGGTTCATGAATGGCGATGGTCATTTGCCATTGTTTCTGTCTTATCAACAATCGATCTAATAGTGTAGAATTAAACCTTCGATGATATGTCGTCATCAACACTAGCTACAGGTACTATCTGATGCATGAAAGACAACATCTCTTCTCATATCACAAACCACATCCCATGATCAAACGACACCGAGCTCTAACAGAAAGCTATAGGGTGACGCAAAGAGAGCAGATGCTTTTTCCGGCCGAAAGACCAACGCAGTTGTCGCTCTGATGCGACGCCACTATCTGCCAATAGTTTTTCAATCGTATACGCGACCACATTCTTCTTATCCGGGCTTTCGAAGACGAGACATGGCTTTCAAACTCAAGAGTCGTGGTGTGTGTCACCCATCACCTCGTCTTCCGCTTCATCGGTGAGGGGATCCACGTCAGCGAAGAGATCAACGTCGTCAACGTAGCTGTTGGTGCTCAAAGTCCAGATAGTGCAGCCATCAAAGTCTGCGACCAGTGAAGACACTGCGGCGGCACCAGTAACGGGAGTGTCCTCGCCGTCAGAGTCGATCTCTTCTTGCTCCTCTGTGGTTTCGTCGTTGTCGTCGTCAAGTTCCGCATGCTCTGATTCCATCTTGACAAGAATATCCATTCCATCCCAAAACCACGCCACCGTAAGAAATCTGTCCACCGCCTGCACCAAAGGGGAAACTGGATACCGGTCGGTACCTCCCTCCTCATTATCCGCGAGATAAGCTTCGCGGGCTTTGACAATTTCGGCAAATAACTCGGCGAACGTCGAAGAGCTCAGTCTTCTGGAGAGAGGATGACTTTCCCGAACACTCCGGAGGAAATGCAACGTAGCGTCGGCGGTGATGAGACCATCGCCGTGACCGAGACTCTCGAAAAAGTCCACCGGAGGCTTTCTCTTGATTGCAGCATCCGTAGCGATGTCCATAATTTCTCTCAAGGACGTTTGCAAATGTCTGGCCTTGAAGAAGAGCAAGGTATCCATCATGGCGTACCAAATTGCCTTGTCGCGCCTCAATCGTGTGGTAACAGTGGATCCGGCCTGGAACTTCATACCAACCTTTGGCATAAAATTCTTGAGTTTGTCCCAACGCTTGGTGGGGTCAGGCCGGGCAGGAGGGGCGGCGCGGGCAACAGGGAGAGTACCGTCAAGGCGAGGACGTAGAGACAGTGGAACGTTCGAAGAGCCAAAATAGTAGGGTTGGTAGCGGTTGTTGCCGCCATTTCCGTTGCTATCGCTACCGCGAATTGGGCCGGGCATGTTTCTGTGAGGGGTGGTGTTAGCACCTCCATTTGTGAAAACTGTGGGCTGAAAATGTACATAGCGCATAGGCAAGTAAAGAGATAAGTTGCCCGGGGTTAAGTGAGAGTAGGAGTGAGGGTGAGGGAAGATGACAATCTTTGCCACCTTGGCAGCCCCCTCGTAATAAGGAAAACCCAAATTTTGTCGATAAACTGGGCTTGAAAGGTCGTTTTAGAGATAGGGAGTTTGTTGGTTCAATAAGACTTACCAAATCGGCTTGGGTCGAAGGGAAAGAAAGTCGACCGGGAATCTGATCGTAGAAAGACCAGGAAAGGCGCGCAGGCTGGTAAGTGCTGGCGATGTTGAGGATGAAGAGTGGTTGAAGGTAGATCTGAATTGCGAAGGAAGGAGTCGCATGCAAGTGCTCGGCCGAAACTCTGGGGTATGTCACTCGCGGCGTTCGTGGCGCGGGGCAAAGTCTTGGTTGAAAGTTTGTGCGTGCTGTGTGAGAGGAAGAAATAAATTGGGGAGAGGCATAGCTTGGCAGGAGCTCTTCAAAGTTCTAATGGAAGAGCTGTTGGAAGTGACTGTGGCGCCCCAGACCAGGTTTCTCCTCTGACACTCTTGTGGCTTGGAGACTCATGTTTTTCAGATGGGATGAATTGCGGCAAACCTCACAGAACGACAAAAGAATATCAGAGTGGAAACTCGTTCAGCTGAAGGTTCATCGTAGAGAATTCACCACGCGTCAACGCAGGGCCACAAATGTGTAACGGACGCATGCTTTGCAAATTTGTATTTACCTGAAGGCCTTGTCGCTCAGGGAAGACGCATTAGCTAGACAGCTATTGCTGTAGAGCACAGGATAAGTATTGAGCGCCGTCAACGTACCAGGAGAACAGCTGGCGCCTTGCGCAAAGGGGTAAAAGAAGATGATATTGTATCAAAGGGGGGTAAAGTATCGCTTGTGCTCATTCGGACCAGAATTCAAATAGTTATAGCGTTATTTCGAACCGACTGATAGCTCGCTTGCCAACTTGGCTGCACGGATGCCGCGAACGCTGGAGCAGAAGACGGTGCAATTGCCGGCATGGTTGCAATCCTGCGCTAGCCTTTGCGACTCTCCCCTAGGTCCATAATCTGGAACAGAATGGGCATACCAGGTTAGTATGATCAAGTCCGATAATCATGCTCGTGATGGATGGGATATCTGTGATTGCTGACTAAGTATTGGTCCCACGAATCTCTTGTAGGCCATCATGAGATGTCACTCTGAGAAGAAGCCGATTGCTTCCCGTCCCAGAATAGTCCCATAGGCAGATATATGGATGACATCCTCCACCGCGGTCAACTGGGAGCTGACACTCACTATCGGCAGTGCACCTGGCTTGTGTGTCTGGGTGGATGGCTGGGTTATCGGAACAGCATTTCTTGTTTTGTCGTGGAGGGATTGCGAAAGAGGACCCGTATTTGAGTCGTTCGTACATGCTCAAAGCACCCGTGTGCCGAAACTTCCAATATTCATCGGTTTGGGTATGCTGTCATTGAGTGTCTGACCAGTACTATCATGCCTTGGAGACTAACAGATGGACTGAAGTCAAAAGTGGATTGATGCTGCTTGTCTTGAGTGGACTGCTCATGGATTGACGTTGATGAGGCTCAAGCGAATGTATGCATGCGAGGTCAGGGTATCCTGACTAGTAAGATCGCCGATCATGCGCCTCTGGGCTCGGCCAAATTTGGAGAGATTATGCCATATGTGGCGGTGCAGATCCTGACTAAGCGACGCGACACGGCCTTTGCTCGGACTGGTCGGCGTGGGAGGCCGGGGACAGGAGACAACTGAACTGAATGGTGTCGCACAGGGGCCACGCCGCCAAGGGAACCAAGGGGCCAAGCACCCCCTGTGACGCCGCTGCAATCAGCCAGTGTGTGGTCCCAACATTGCGCAAGAGAGACCCGAGCCAGGCAGGTGTCCACAGGTACGCCGTTCCGTCACAGCAACATTGAAGCCCGCATGCAATTTACCCACCTCAATCTTCCTTGCTGGCTTCATTTGTATTGTTCCGCTCCCCCAGTCGTCACTTGAGACATCGTCATTGTACCATTTTTAGAACCCTCGACAACCTCTTCTTGCTCCATCTCTGACACAGCTGGACTCCGACGTTCGTTGACACACCACAAGCATCATCCCACCGTTCTTGGGTCTTTCCAGAACAGGGACACCGGGCATTATCGCCATCCCGGGGCACCTCGACCTAGACTTCTTTCTGTGTCTAGATCACGCTCCTTTGCCCACCACCCTTCAAACAGGACGGGGTAATCTGCCCTACGCCCACGCTCCTTCTGGAACCCCTTTATAAGTCTGCGGACGTCTAATTTCGATCCGATCCACTTCTTGGCCCCTCGTCTCCCCCTTCCCCAGACTTGGGCCATCGAAGCTCCCCGTCTAGACTCCCATTCCGCTATCATCTGGTTCCGAACCGACCGGGTCGCATGCGAACCACCGCCGCCCTCAACCCCATCGCGATCCTTCGCCGGCCTTCATAATGGCGCCGGATAAGAGCCAGTTCCGCTACGAGCCCGCACCCCCCATACCTACCTACGACGAGGCCGTCGCTTCCGGCGCCGGCAGCCATACCGTCTTCGAAGCCCCACACTCCCCTCTCGATGCCACAGACCATACAGAAGGCCACTCCCTGCTCGGCGGTACGGCATCATCATCGAGCACTCATGACCGAGCACGTCCACCGCGCGGCTACCAGCCACCCACAGTCGAGACAGACGACGAAGGAGAGTCGTGGAGCTCGTCTGACGATGATAGCGATTCCGAGGCCGATCACGTTCGACGCGAGATGCAAGAGATGGAAATAGACGACTCCAACCACCGTTCGCAAAGTATATGGGGCAAGCGCATAGGGAGGTTTTCACTACCACGATGGAAGTGGGGGTGGAGGTTACCACAAATATCACTACCCCGATTCAGGAGACACGATGCGAACGCCAGTCTGGAATCTGCTACGACGCCAGCCGCCAACGGCAACACGAATAACAGTAATAACGAAGAACAACCAAGCTCTGGAAGCCGATTCGCCTTCCCAACATTCGGCAGCACCGCCCTTTTCCTGCTGGTTGGGCGCCTCCTCGCCCTGTTCCTTCTTCTCGGCTTTGTTTACTTGATATTCGTCTCCGATGTGTTCGGGAACATGTCGCGCCGCCTCGGCTCGGGCATGTTCAATCCCAACGATATCCGGCAATATTTGGAATCCAACATCAGTTCCAATCAGATCAAGGACAATCTCCAGCATTTCACCTCGTACTCTCACCTGGCTGGTACCGAAGGCGACTACGCCCTGATGGAGGATATCGAGTTGCTCTTCCGTAAATACGGTCTTGAAGACGTTTCGCGCGACACCTATCACGTATATCTCAATTATCCCAAAGCCGATGGGCGTGCGGTGGAAATCATCGACGACAAGGCGGACAACGGAAAAGGCAAGGCTATATGGTCTGCGAAGCTGGAGGAGAATGACCAGGCAACTGGGTTGACTGGACACCAGACATGGGCTTTTCACGGTCACTCGAAAACGGGTGATGTTCGCGGCCGGCTCATCTACGCCAATTACGGCTCGCGCGAGGACTTCCAGCGCATCAAAGACCTTGGGATCCAGACTGCTGGCGCCATCGCTCTTGTTCGCTACTACGGCCCCCACGCCGATCGCGCTCTGAAGGTCAAGGCTGCTGAGCTCGCAGGTTTCGCAGGTTGTCTCATCTATTCGGACCCACTCGATGACGGTTTCAAGAAGGGCGACACTGCGCCGAAGGGGCCTTTTATGCCTGCTGATGGAGTCCAGCGTGGCAGCGTCAGTCTCATGTCGTGGGTCGTCGGTGATGTGTTAACCCCGGGCTGGGGCAGCAGGGAAAACATGCCAAGAATGAAGAAGGAACAGACCAAGGGACTGGTCAAAATCCCCTCTCTTCCGCTTGCCTGGCGTGATGCCAAGGTCCTTCTGCAGCATCTCAAGGGCAAGGGCCAGCGTGTGCCGGAAGACTGGGTGGGCGGTGTTCCTGATGTTGACGAGTGGTGGACAGGCGATCACGAAAACTCGCCCATTGTCCGGCTCAAGAACGATCAGGACGAAAATGAGAAGCAAGCCATATGGAACGTATACGGAAGCATTCTGGGAATCGAGCAGGAAGAGAAGAAGGTCATCATCGGTAACCATCGTGATGCATGGACTTTGGGCGCCGCTGATCCCCATTCAGGCACGGCCATCATGCTCGAGCTCGCCCGCGTCTTTGGCGAGTTGCTGAGAATGGGCTGGCGCCCGCTCAGGACCATTCAGTTTATGTCTTGGGACGCAGAGGAGTACAACCTCATTGGCTCGACTGAATTCGTTGAGCAAAATGATGATATGCTGCGTAAGGACGCGCTGGCGTACATCAACCTCGACACCGCAGTAACGGGCAACACTCTACACGTAGCCGGCTCGCCCGTGTTCAAGGGCCTCCTGATGCAAATTCTCGACATAGTCAGAGATCCCTATGAGAACGCCACGCTAAAAGAGCTTTGGGAGCGCAGAAATGCCAATGACCTCGAGGGCCTCGGCGCGGGCTCGGACTACGTCGCCTTCCAGGACATCGTCGGCACGTCCTCCATCGACCTGCACTTTGATGGCAAGGGCCACCCCTACCACTCCAGCTACGACACGTTCGAGTGGATGGAACAGGTCGGTGACCCGGACTTTGTCCACCACACGATGCTGGGACAGGTCGTCGCTCTTCTCCTGTACGAGCTGACCGATCGTCCCGTCTTGCCGTTTGATATGGCGCACTATGCTGAGAAGATCCGTGACTGGACTGGAGAGATCGTCCCGTGGGTTGAGGATCAGGCCAAGAACGCAAAGAAGGATGCTGTGCCCAAGGAACTTGCGGCGTCGCTCAACAGCATGATAAAGGCCAGCGATGAGGTCATGGAAGCCGTGCGTCGGTTCGTGGCATGGGAGCATGAATGGCAGTCGAGTGTTGTCGCGAGCGGTGGATGGGAGCCCTCGGGATGGGGCAGGAAGAGGTGCGAGTTTAATTCGAAGATGGCGTGGTTTGAGACGGATTTGTTGGATCCCGAGGGTGTAAGTCTTTCCTCTCCCTTCTCTCTGCCCTTGCTCTGCTGTCCTTTCCAATTATCTCCTCGTCCCCTCTCTTCCCTCCTAAAATGCTAACTCCCCCTTTACCCATTACAGATCCCAAACCGCACCCAATTCAAACACGTCCTCTTCGGCCCTCAACTCTGGTCCGGCTACGACGAGGCCTACTTCCCTTCGATCCGCGACACCGTCGACTCCGGAGACTGGGGTCTGGCCAACCGCACCATCGCCAAGGTTGCCGGCATTATCAAACGGGCGGCGGCGAACTTAGCGGAGGGGACTCTTGGAGGATAGAGAAAACCTTTGTTGAGATGGCTATGCTACTTGATGTACTTTTTCCTTCCATTTGTTCTCAAAGCGTTTCTTGTCGTTTTCTTTGGTTTTTGGGTACATATTTTCCAGTTATTACGTAGAACCAGCTCGTTACTGCTGTCTGTATATTTATTCATACCTTCTTACTTTTGTTTGTCCGATAGAAGATGATCACCGTGGGTGGATGAGTGCATGAGGCAGCGTGTTATTTGGGAAAGGGAACTTGTCGGAAGAAAATAAAGCGAGCATCGTCGTCACACGCAAGCTCTGTAGTGCTCCGGTTTATACTCTCTTTACCCTTCAATGTTTTGCATCGCATAGCGCAGTTGGCGGATTGTTTCCCTTGTTGTCACATCCTTCCGTCTCGATCCCTTTTGTGTGGCGGCTAAATATCACCGTCGCTATGAAGCTTGCCACCATAGCACAATCCTAGAAAAGCCTCACAAGGCGGAATGATCGCTGATCGAGCTCAGAACCGGCATTCATAGAGCTGATTGTAGTCCCCGAAATGTACACTGAACTGCGGCTCTCGACGCCTTGCTCTCCGTCATTACATATCTACGTACGGTGGGTTGGTTATAGCTATCGTATCATTGGGGGTTTGGGTTTCCTGTCCTGTCCTGTCCTGTCCATCCATCATGTAACTGCATCATCATCGCTCATCTGGTGTCGCATCTCGTCACATCTCATCTCGTTCCGTCCGCCGTTGGGCTTTTGTTACAATAACAACAAGACTCAAAAAAAGTTCTGCTGCTTACTGCTTACTTGGGAGTAAGCACGATGCCCTCGTACTCCTTGCTCCTGATAATCTCCAAGGTCTGCATAAAGTGCTTCCGGCTGGCCTCGACCGAGGCCGAGTCTTGCTGGTTACCGGCCAGGTTGGAGTGTATAAGCTCGATAAGGCCGTTGAGGTACTTTGTGGTAACCTACAAGGAGAAAAAAAGATAGTTAGACGCCATGGCTTTTTCTGACGGGGCGAAAAGGGTAAGTGATGACCTACCGATTCATTCTTTTGGTCAAAGTAATACACGTATCTGTCCAAGATCTCAACAAACAACTCGATCGAGGTGGCAGTCTCCATGCACGAATCTGCAACACGGAGGGCACGCTGCAGGCATTCGAGAACACGCTTGCCGTCTCGGTAAAGCTATCGCATAACATGTTAGAACCGTGTGAAACCTCGCAAAACCAAGAGGAACGGAGAAATGCTGCTACTAACCTCAGTCTCCTCGGTCTCCCCGTTACTAGCAATAGGAGTCGCCCACCACAAATGACTGGCCAGATAGACAGCCCGGCACTGATCCGGCTTCCTCAACAGCTTGCTCGCGTGCTGCGCGCACTTGGTGATGAGCGTGTCGTAGTTCTCCTTTCCAAAGTTGCGTGTGCGGTGCAGAGCGCTGGCAATCGCGCAAACGGCCTGGAACTGCGCCTTGGAGTCGCTGATCGCCTCCTCATACACCGTAAAGGCCTGCGCAAAGAACTCGTATGCCACCTCCTCGAACTCGGTCTTGTCGGCCATCTGACCGCACGAGCAAAAAAGGCGCAGGGACAGCTCGGCGGCGCCGGCGCCGTTGACGCGCGTGTAGAGGGTCGAGATGGCCGAGTGGAGGAACTTGAAGAGCGCGGAGCACTGCGACTGCCAGTTATCGTCGTAGTGCTCGCGAGCCTTGTAGCGTCGGGCGAGCTTGAGGCCGGCGGTAATGAGAGGCGGCGTCGTGGTCCGGATCCGCTCGTTGCCCTCGGCGTAGGCCTTCCTTGTCATCTGCAGGAGGCGGAATTGGGTGTCGTTATCCTCCGCCTGGAGGAGGTGGACAAGGCGGGCCAGCCAGCCCTGTTCCTCCAAAGTCTCGTCTGTCTCCAGGGCACGGCCGCGCTGCTGCACGACACCGGGGTAGCCAGACGGCGCTTGCGACCCTTCTTTGATGAGGACCTTGAGCACCTCCAGGACATTCTCGAGGTTGGCCGTGGTAGTGATGTGGGTTTGGTTCTTGATCAGGTGTCTGGCCACTTCGCCAGCAACAGCCCGCCGCGTAGGATAGGTTTGTGATTGGAACAGAGGAACGTATGTAGGTAGGGCGAGTGCCGTAAATATCGACACATACCTCTTGAGAGGCGCCTGAAGCAAGGCCAGGATACTCTGCTGCGCTGGCGGCGAATGCAAATCGGCACTGTTGGCGTGTTCTTTTACCTTTGAGTGGGCGTAGTCGAGGATCTGGTCGACATAATCTAGCCTTTCAGGATAGATGTTGAGAGCTAGGTTCGTAAGGGATACACACAGCGCGATGGTGTCCTGGATCGGAAGATGTTGCGCCTGCACAAGGTTCTTGACCTGCCCGAAAAAGATTTCGTATAGGGGCACGTTCTCGGGAATGCCCCTATGCTTCTTGGCTGGTTCGACTTCATCTCCATTTGTCACGGTAGCCTCGGTCTCTGCTACTGATGGTTCGGCGTTCAGAGTTTCATCGGTCGAGCCCACATCAGTTTCTGCATGCTCCCCATTTTCAGGGGCTTCGGGTGTCGGCGCGCTCGCTTCTTCGGTTTCCGCAGCCGATTTTGCGAGTTTCACCCTTTCCAGCAGGTTCGCGAGTGCTTCTTCCTCCAACTGGCCCCTATCCTCGCCTTCTTCATTCTGCGCCTCTCGCTCGGCGTAGTCGGATAGTCTGTCCATCAGGCCGATAACAATTCCCTTTACGTTAACGTGGGGGTTTAACCTGGACACAGCGGCGAGGAACTGATCGAGGGTGTGAAGATGGAACTCGTCAGGGAATACCTGAGTGATGACCTCAAGCAGATATTCCTGCGCCAGGACATCCCGACACTGCACAACCTGCTCCAGCAGGGGGGCCAGAATGCCATTTTTGTATGTCGGCAGATCCACCAGCTGGCTTAGACGGACAATGTTGTTTCCTACAAGCAATTGCAGCTCTTTCCTCTCCTGCGTCCGCTGGTCTCTCTCTCTTGAGTGTCCTTGATGTTGTAACCGAACCCAGAGCTTGTTCATCTCAACGAAATTGGTCAGGATGAAGTTGATCGAGTCCTGCAGGTTGCCCTCTGGGCCTTCGGAGTCGCCAGTCGGGAGATAGTCGCGTGCCTGTCCGGAGAGGTAGTAGCGCAGAAACAAACCGCGAACAGGGTGCTGGACACCACGGCTCATGTCCATCATGTCCTTCATTAACTCCTTGACGGGAGCGCCGTCGATGGACATGTAGGCGGTGCCGACCGTGATCATGAGATAAAGGCGGGGTATAATGTTGCCGGCATACTGGACGAGTTCGTAGAGGTCGGCGAGGTGGTTAACGGGGTGATTCTCGCGCAAGTGGACGGAGAGGTACCGGAGAGCATCGAAGACAGCCATGTAGAGCTCGTAGTACTGTTTGGGGCCCAGACTGCTGGTTCGAAGCTCCGAGACAAGGGTGGAGCTATAAGTTGTCGAGGGTGGTCGACGGTCAGCACCAGCACCAGCGCATATCGGGCCATGCCGTGACACGCTCCGTTGGGGACATACCAGCACTTGAGAGCATCCATGAGCTTTCCGGGGGTGTCGAGACATTTGCGCATGAGGGTGCTTTGCTGGCGCACAGCGATCAAGGCATCTTCGAGGAGGCGGGCCTGGTCCTCAGGCGGCGCGGGGGTCGACATGTCGCTTCTTTGCTGCTTGTAGCGCTCCTACGATGCGTGAGGGTGGATGTCTTTGGCGTCGTGTTTGATCCAACGGTTGTTGTGTTTGAGGTGGCTAGAAAGCGCGGGACCATACGAGCATTAATCTTGTGCTGGTGAAGGGAACGGGAATGGCGCAGTAAAATGTAGTGAATGTCGGGGATGTTGTTCAGAGGCGCGGAATGACGACGCTCGAGGAGAGAGAGCCGTAGCTGAGCTGGGCTGTCTGGGCTGTTGGAGGTAGAGTTCCAAAGGCACTTCGCATGAGCTGCCTGTAACAGCTAACAGGTCAGCGGGGAGTATCCATATGTTGCAGGGTGTGAGCTGTTAGTGGAACTAGCATAGCCAAACATGAAGCTGCCCCTGGCTGCCCACCAAGCTGAAGCTCTTGATTACGTAAGGCACTCCATGTGTGATACTTGGATGACACAGACATAAGGGTTAGGGGTAGCAAGCATATCTGGAGACACCAGTCGCACCCAGACGGGTTCACTCTTACAACCCAAAACAACTGTACTTCCCATCATCATCTTCGTCGACATACCTAGACATTCCCCGTCCTTCCTCGTCATCTAATGTCCGACTGCCCGAGTCTATTCTTTGTGTTCGGCTGTTTTACTCTCCAATCCAGTCTTGACGCCTGGATTCTGGGGTACAACAAGCAACACAATATTGGACCAAGTGGCTCTACCTTCGACTTCCTGCTTCCACTAACGAACTGAGTTTGCTGAACGCCAGTGGGCGCTTGGATACATAACCTATTAAGACTATTTATTCATTCAAACGGTTTTCTTCGCTGCTCACTTATACTTTGGTCGCCGCCCCCGTGGTCAACAACATGACCGCGCTCAACACCTTGCCGGCCGAACTTCTCCTGGACATTGGAGAACGTCTCGATCGCAGAGACTTGGCCTCTCTGATCCGTGTCTCCAGATCTTGTCACGCTGTCTTGACTGACAAATTATACAATGTCAGAGGCAAGCAAGAGGCTGTGCGTTGGGCCGCCGATAATGGCAGCTGCTTGGTCATGAAAACCGCGCTATCGCGATCCCTCAATGAGAATGAAAAGTCCGAACTCGTCAGCATACCCATCCTTCGTCCGCTTGTGCCGCCAGACCGCCGCTGGCCGCTAATGGCTACTCCGCTTGCTCGCGCATCGTATCATGGTCATCTTGATGTTGTCACCTATCTCTTGAATGTTGGAGCACGCCAAGACATATCGTCGTACCGGCTCTGCAAGTGCATTGACTTGCAAAGTATCTTCGAGGGCTTCGAGGGCCACGATTTTCCCAATGTCCCGACTTGGTATCCTCTTCACTACGCAATATGCAGGTAAGTCTCGAGCCCTTACCGTTTGGCATGCTCCCCAATTTGCTGGTTCTGAACAATGCTTCACAGCAGTAAGAATGAAGAGATCGCGCTGCTCCTTATCGACCGGGGTGCGCCCTTGGTGGTGTGTCAAGGTGGCCCCCATATCACTGCACTCCAAAGTGCCGCTGCGAACGGTTGTCTAAAGGTCGTACAGCGTCTCGCGAAACGATACCGTGAGCTGAATCATGGTCCTTTGTTGACCCCCGGGCAGAGGGTAGATGTAGGTCGTCCGCCGGCCCCCAATGCAACCGATGCTCGTCTCAACTCTGCGATGCACTACCTCGCGCTGTGTCCGCGTCGTGAATATGTTCGCGAAATCTGTCTCTACCTGATGGACCTCGGGGTTCCGCTAGATACTCCATGGGGTAGTATGGCCATGTCGCCCCTTTTAATGGCATGCGCATTGGGAAATTTTACGGTAGCTAGTGAATTTGTGCAATTCGGAGCAAACCTTCAACGTCGGGATCCGACAGAGCAGGAACGTCAACAACTTCTCCAAGAAGACGTGTTGCCCGAACACCGGCAAACAAACGCCTCATACGTGTACACTGCCCTGGGAGCCACGTATAGACGAGCTAAGCAGGCCGGCGTTGTGTGGCGTCCAGGCGGCAAGGCGCGCTGGGAAATCGAACGGCAGAACTTTATCAGAATATTCATCCAGCACAATGGCAAGGTTAACGAACCCGTCAGTCGAGCTGGTGACACCGCTTTGGCAAGAGCAGCCGAACGAGGGCTCGTGGCTGAGGTCCGAATACTTATCTCGGAGGGAGGCGCTGTTGTTGACAAGCCAGATGCGTTTGGAATGACACCGTTGTGCAAGGCTGCTCTACACGGTGGACTTGCTGCCGTTGAAAGTAGGTTTACATCACCATTACATCTCAGTGCTCCGCTTTCTGATGGGCATGTATTAACTTGGTTCACAGCGCTCTTGGAAGCCGGGGCGGACCCAAACCTTCCCAGTCGAATTGGTCAAATCACGGCCCTGGAGATGATCAGTGGCATGATTGCGGTGCCAGAAATCGAGCAAATAATCATCTTGCTACTACGCTACGGTACACGTGTAGGAAGATTATCACCTCGATCTCCCCATCAGTATGAACGAACTCACTTGATCGGTTTGTTGAAGCGAGTTCTCGATCGTAACAACCCTTCAGACTACTTGGCCGTGTCGACAATTCTCGAAAACAGTACTGAAGCAAACATAGCGCGTGGGTGTTGGCAATACGCAGCCGAGGTTGCCCTTCGTCTCGATAAGAATGGGGATTCCAAGAAGCCAGGACACAGACAATTGTGCTTACTCCTAGGTACCTTTGGTTCCAACGTTGGCTATGCCTTTGATGATTCCAGACTCTGCTCGATTGTTAAGCAGCTCATCAAGACAGGCCACCCGGAGAACATGTCGTGTCTGTTTTACCTTGGAGGAAGGAATATGGAACTTCAACTGCGGGACTATTTCCCAAGCGTGGTTAGGACACTCAGCGGCGTCTTCACTCGAGAAGCGATGCTGGCCTTGGCCTTGACGCATAGTAAAGAATCAGCGTTGCCTTTGGTCTCTCAATTGCTCGCTGACAACGATATCGACGTCACTGGGAGACTTCACTGTCTCAGCACCAAACCGACGCTACTTCATCTGGCTTGTAGCAACGGCGACTGGGGATCCGCAGGCCTGCTTATCACCAGAGGTTGTTCCGCGAACGCTGTCAATGGGTGTCTTTTAACGCCCTTGGCGGAGGCCGCAGCGGGCGGTTACAGGAAGCTGGTCGAAGCTCTGATGGACTGTACAGCGGCTGATCCACACGAGTCATTCCGGAGTCCTTCAGACACCACCAGAGTATTGCAAGATCACTTGGCAGTTCAAGAAGACTTTCTTCGCCCGCCTCCCGGAGCCAAGCTCTCCCAATTCGTCGTCCGTGAGCTCATGAAGCTCCAGGGTGCACCTTTAGGGTTTACCGATAGTGATACCAGCAATCAGCACTCATTGGACCCATCTCTTCCCAAAAGGGGGGCTCGGAACCGTTACACGCCACATCTCTCTGGATTCTCTGCTCTTGAAGCGGTAAGTTGCGTATATTTGTAGGTAGTCTTCGCAGTCCCGATTACTAACCTCCTGCACAACTTAGGCCTGTCACGAGGGACACACCGGTGTCGTAAAAGCAATTCTCAAACGTCACCCCCTTGCAAGACATACCCATCTCCAAGTCCAAAGGGGTTACATGCTCGTAAAGCCGTCGTCCAGTCTTCTGACTGATGCGATCATGAACGGACACTGGGACACAACGCACATTTTACTCAACAACGGAGCAGATCCCAACCAGGGCATCCTCCGCGGCTGTCTCGACCTAACTCCCCTCCACATCTGCGTGGAGGCACTTGTGCACACAGTCCGGTTGTACAACGCCGAAGCCGAGACCCTTGCTACCGAGCAGCCTATACCCCCCGGCTCCGAGGCTCCGCCCCCGTTCCCACCGGATATGCATCCCCAACTATTGCCGTTCGTCAAGAGAATTCAGAAAATTGTTAGTGTCATTGCGCACCTAAAGAACAGAGGTGCAAAGGAGGAATCAGACAATTCTGTATTCAGGATCGTTCACAAACTGGAGGGTGAACCGTTCTCGCATAATACAATGGACTTGTTGAAGAGGTTTATGAACAGAGAGGACCCAGAGTACATGGGGGGAAGGTTCATGGAGAGACATGAGGTGGTGGTGACGAGGAAGTTTACGCTGGATCCGGAGGGCAAGAAGATTGTTCTGAGTGCTGAGGCAAACGACGAATCGAAGAATGAGGGTAAGGGTCTCCCGAAGAAGACAAAGTAATCATGGTAATGATGGGGTGGCGCACTTTGGCGGTATTTGGGTCGTGTTGCATAACTCTTTGCATTTGTTTTCGGATATCTTTCGCCGGATCAGCGAAATACTAATCAAGGGGTGTTTGGGAACAGCGATTAATTAGCCCAAGTACCAAGTAGCGATTAACAACATGAAATGTTTCAATGTGCTTCAAGCTGCGATGTTTTGTTGACCTGGATAATTTCGTTAGACTCCAATGATGAGCCTTACACAATGCCTGTGCAGTTCAACCCCACAGTTAGAGACATGGCAATCCCTTGGGCTCTTTGGCTTTGATACAAGCTCCCATATGGTGTACTTGATTTTGACAAAAGCATATTCACAGCTTGAAAACGCCTAGGGAAGTTGACTCGAGGTCTCGAGCTAAACATCTTACGAGTAGTGGACTTTAAACTTGACGATGGTTAGTCAAGACGTGGTCGGTCCCATCTGAGGAACAAGGGCCCCAAACAAAGTGGGTCTCCGACCAACACCATGCCAAGCTAGTTTAAAGATTGGACTGACGTTGGGCTCTAAATACCTATCCTACAGCACTATACTTGGACTTCTCTCCTCAACTCTTTTCTCTCTTTTTCCCATCATTTTCTCCTTCTATTTCAAATCATATAAAAATGGGAACTAAAAAAAATAAACCTCCCTCCCCCTCCCCCTCCCCTCCCCCCTCAGCCGGTCTAGCCCCAAGCACCTGGGCCAGCGCCCACGGAAGAGGAACTCCCAGTCCCGACACTCGCCCCCGCCGCACGTCATTAATAGCCCAACTCCAAATGCGGCGCTCCTCGGGGGTCCTGGGCCTCGCCGGCAAAGCCCTCGCCATCTGCCTTCTCCTCTTCTTCCTTTCGACGGGCGCCTACGGCGGCATGATCACCGGTTTCACCAATGGCTTCTTTGCCGCGCTCACACGGATCAAAACCGACCCTTCGGTCATCGTGGGGTACGAGCCAAAGGAAGAATTTACGGGGGTGAAGGCGGTGGATCAAATTTTGGTTACGCTGGTGACGTTTTTTGCTGCTTGGTTGGATGCTGGGGGCCCGGTGGAGGGAACATCGTGGGAGGAGACGTGGGAAGGGCCGTGGCTGGTGGGCTTGGTAAAGGGAAGGGAGGGGACGCAGCGGGGAAGGACGTGGGACGTGGATGTGCCGCTTTGGATGGCTATGGTGCAGTTTGCGGGTGCTTGGGCGTTGGTGAGTGTAGAGGGGGCGAGGAGGGGCAATCAGGGGAGGGTAGTTGGTTGGTGAGTTGATTTTTTACCTTTGCTGGTTTGGTGACTGCTCGTGATAGAGGAGTTGTGGATGACTTGTGTTCAAAGGGGGAAGAACGGGTAGTGATGGCTGACGGTTTTACAGGACTGGGTTCTGGGGTATGGGCATGCAATTATTGTCATACACCATCGCGGGCCCGATTTACTTCATCGTCTACTTGGTTACATCGCCCGTAGCAAGTGGCAGCGACGTGGACGCGCTGGTCGTCGACGGATGGGAGATGGCCATGCTGCCAGTGTGCGTCACAATGGCCTTCATTGTTCCGGCGTTCATGATGGGATTACCAAGCATGCCGCAAGCTGAGCACCAGAATTGGATAGCTACCTGGCAGGTGTTTCCCATTCTGCAGGCTAACCTGATTTTCTTCCTCAAGAGCTTGTGTGGCTCTTCTGATGCTGGAGCAGAGGGGAGAAACAGCAGCAGAGTCACGAATGGGGGGAAAGCGGCCGGCGCAAGCCCGGTGTATCGATTCACCATGAGCCTGTGCATAGTGGCTCAACTGGCCTTCCTTGCCATTGCGCTGATCCCGCCCACTGCTTTGCCAGAAAGCTTGGCTGCCTCGTATCCGTGGCTCTCGACGATGTTGAGGGAGGTGAGCATTGGTTCGGCTCTCCCTAGGGCCCTATGGAATCCACCGTCTACCGATACGGCGAGCCCGATCCGGATTACATATTTGGCGCCGTTGGCGAAGCACTTTCTTCAGTGGGATGTGTACAGCGGTAACTTTGCGCTGCTCACCTGGGCTGCATACCAATATTGGACTGCTGGAGTCGGCGGTTTTAAGCGATTCGGCAAGGCGTTGGGCTGGTTCGTGCTTGGTGGGCCGGTTTCGGCAGCGGCATATCTTTTGTGGGAGAGAGATGAGGCCGTTGTCGAAAGAGAGGATGAGCGGGGGAGGAGGAGAAGTCGGTAAACGGTGAAGACGGGAGACGGGAGTTTGACCAAGAAGAGACGGACCGGGGCAAGTCGAAGTCGGGGACCGGAAACCAATGACAAACTCCGAAATGCGGGGGTTCCGAGCTTGTGGGTCCCCTCACTCACTGCTCCCGCGGCTACGGTGGCCCAAGTCAGGTCTATGCTCAATTGAAAAAGTTTCGTTAAAAAAAAGTCCCTGACAGTGGCAGCCGCTAGACTCGCACCGAAGGGTATCATTCAAATGCCAATACTAATGCGACCCCGATATCCAGCCCCAACTCTAACTCCAATGAAGCAATGAAGCGATAAAGCAATGAAGCAATGAAGCGATAAAGCAATGAAGCAATGAAGCAATGAAGCACCGAAAATTAATAGGAATTAATAGGAATTAATAAGAATTAATGGGAGTCGATGGGAATTAATAAGAATTAGTGGGAGTTGACTTCGCGGGAGGTTTGACCAAGGTCTTGGGTAGTAGTGCAAATGGACCCTGGACCTTCTCCAAATTTTGGCAAGAAGTTTGGAGTTGGGGGAGGTAATAATGTAAATGGATCCTTCTGCCTCTCCCAACAACCAAAGAAAAAAAGAGAGAGAAAGAGAGAGAAAGAGAAAGAAAGAGAGAAAAAGAGAGAAAAAGAGAGAAAAAGAAGGAGAAGGAGGAGGAAGTAGGGGGGGGGGGGGGGAAGGTGAGGAGGTAGAGAGAAAGAAGAAAGAAAAGAGCAAAAAAAAAAAAATTTGAGCAAAAAGATAGAAAACCAACGAGGGTATAAAGACGGGAGGTGGATGGAGGCGTTAATATAAAAAGGCTCGCAGCTGAGGCCAGATGGAAGCTCGGACCAATTTTCAATTGAGCATAAACCCAACTTGGGCCACCGTACGCGGCGCAGATTTCCCGTATCCACCACGGAAGGGGCGCGTGGCGCTGGAGACCTAGAGGTACCTACCACTGCGTATGTATGCACGAAAGGGACAAGGATCCGAAACAGGATTCAATGTCCATCTTGGCGACCTTCCCTCTTTTTACCTGGGCTGTCTGTCATCTTCATCCCACCTTCTGGTCCTGACTTTCGTCATTAATTTCAATTTCCGTCTGTTCCGGCCAAAACACTGCCCTGGACACCACACAGTACACTACTATACTTCCCTCCTTCGGTCGCGACTACACCTACTTGTCGCTCCAGTCGCTTCTTGCCGACATCGTCGCTCGTTTCAATCCGAATTCGCTTCCGCTTTGCTTTTGATGCACTCGGTCCAGTCTGGGGCCGCCGCTTTCTAGAGATTTTCTCGGGTTCTTCCCAGGGCCCGCGCAGCTCCACAGAAGACCTAAGCTGGGAAGCTGACCACCATCGCCGCAACAATCAATGACAGCAGGCAAACCGCCCATGATATACCGTAGCTAAGCCCCTGTGATGACCTGATCGGCCCGCCAATCCTTCGAGTCGATGACCTGACCGTAACTTCTACACTTACTGCGTAGAGATATCAACAACAATTGCGCTGGCGCAACCTAATCACCACCATTTCCAAATCTTGACAAGCGACGCCATGAGCCTCAGAACCCTTGGACAAGCAACAGCATGAGGAGCTTTACCAGGAGCACGGCCGACGAGGGGGGCGCCAGTGTCGATAATGCTTCGTTCGAAAAGGGCCTCAGCATCTTCAGTAAAACCGGCATCTTGGCCCCTTTGCGCAAGACTGGGACATCGGCGACAACGGTGACCAGGACTATCAAGGCATCAACACAACAGCTGTATCGGAGATACGTCCTCGAGCTCATATTTCAAGAAAAGGAACTGCCGCCTTCAAAAGACGGCCGACATATCCCATTACGACCCCATCATGACAAACCCCTGATCGACGAACGGCGAGGGAGCGCATATATTCCAAACACGATTCGGACATCCCGCTACACCGTCTACGATTTCCTCCCGAAGCAGTTATTCTTCCAGTTCTCGCGCCTGGCCAACTTCTACTTCCTTTGCGTCGGTATTCCTCAAACCATTCCGGGCGTCAGTACAACCGGAAACTTCACAACCATCATTCCCCTATTGTTCTTTGTATTTCTTACTGTTGTCAAGGAGGGATACGATGACTGGAAACGCCATCGACTCGACAAGGTGGAAAATGCAAGAAGCGCGACCGTCCTCCGGCCCACAGGCCACGTTGACAGCCGACAGGACTGGCGGACTGGGTTTGGATTACGAAGAACAAAGGATACTCAAACAGTGGCGGTTGAAGAGGTTATCCCCGACTCGGATTATCAATGGCATGCCACGCAATGGAAGGATTTGAAAGTCGGCGATGTCATCAAGCTCTCCCGCGACGAGGATGTTCCCGCAGATATCGTGCTGCTGTACGCCGACGGCGAGAATTCCATGGCCTACATCGAGACAATGGCCCTGGACGGAGAGACGAATCTGAAGAACAAGCAGGTATCCAAGGCGCTGCAGCGTTGCAACACTATACAAGGTATTGCCAATTGTCGGGCCGAGTTCGTGGTGGAGGATCCCAATCCGGATCTCTATCGATTTGACGGAAGAGTAACCGTGGACGGTGAAACGTTGCCTTTGACTTTGAATGAAGTGGTGTACAGAGGCTGCACGCTACGCAACACAACATGCGCGATCGGTATGGTCATCAATACAGGAGAAGAGTGCAAACTCCGACGAAACGCCAACCGGCACCCCAAAGCAAAGAAGCCGGCCATGGAGAAAATTGCCAACAGGATTGTCATCAGCCTTGTTGTTGTGGTCATCTCCCTTTCCGTCGGTTGCTCCATGGGCTATTTGATCTGGAAAAATGCGTATGAGCGCAAGGCATGGTACTTGAAGCACCTGGGAGTCGACTTTGAGGATATTATTATCGGATTTTTCATCCAGTTCAACAATATCATTCCTTTGGCGCTATACGTTAGCTTGGAGATTGTCAAAATTGGGCAGATGTTAATGCTCAATTCCGACCTGGAGATGTACGACAAAGTATCTGACACGCCAGCCAAGTGCAACACCAACACCATTCTCGAGAATTTAGGGCAGATCGGTTACGTCTTTTCGGACAAGACAGGGACTTTGACTGAGAATGTCATGAAGTTCCGAAAGATGAGCATCGCCGGAACGACATGGTTGCATGAGATGGATATTGTGAAGGAGCAGGAAGAACAAGGGCTCACCCAAACGAAAACGAAGGGCAAAGAGCTCAACGTTATGTTGGAACCGACCTGCGAAAACGGCAACGCATTGACAAAGACAACAACCGCTGTGTCAGTCCGCTCACCGAGCCCGCGCCGGTCATCTTCACAATGGCGGTCGACTGGTCGGCCTGACCATGTCCAGCCAGAGGTCACGACTGAGGATCTACTTGAGTACATAAGGCTGCGCCCAAAGGCTCCGTTCTCGAGGAGGGCAGTTCAGTATCTTCTTGCTATGGCCCTCTGCCACACCTGCTTGCCAGAAATCAGAGACGGGGAGATTGAGTTCCAGGCCGCTTCACCCGATGAGCTTGCTCTTGTCAAAGCCGCTCAAGAGCTTGGGTTTCTCGTGGTTCAACGGTCCTCCCAGTCCGTCACGCTCCGTATATCGCGCGGTGATGGCACTGAATTGGAGCGCACCTACCAAATCCTCGACGTGATAGAGTTCAGCAGCAAGCGAAAGCGCATGTCCATTATCGTGCGATGTCCCGATGAAAGGATATGGCTGATAACAAAGGGCGCCGACTCCGTCATTCTTCCAAGGCTGAGGATGGCACAGTTGGCAATACAAAAGGCTAACGAGGTCCGCAAGAGCTTGGAGGTTGAGCATGAAATGCAACGCAGGAGTGAGGCTCGAGAACCACGTAACAGTTTTGGCGGCCGGCCCAGCCTTACAATCCGCCGCAGCATCAACCTTGCCAGACAGAACAGCGTTGCTGGACCTAGCAAGCGCCCAATCACCAATCGTAGTAAGTCGTTTGAGGTGGGTAGAATGTCCCTGACTGCACCAGAAAATCGCCTCAGGCCCCAGGTTACCGTTCGCACAGCATCCTATGATGTGCCTTATGAGGACGCTGTTGCGGCGTCAGTGTCAGACAAGTTTGCATTCCTTGACAATCCTTCCGTGTGCGATGAGGGTGCTATCTTCACTCGATGCTTCAAGCACATTGATGATTTTGCAACCGAGGGCCTCCGAACACTTCTATTCGCTCAACGGTTCTTGTCCGAGTCTGAGTACAACACATGGAAGAAGCTTTACCGCGACGCAGAGACGAGTCTTGTCGATCGTCAAGAGCGCATCGAAGCGGCCGGTGAATTGATCGAACAGACCCTGGACCTCATCGGTGCCACGGCAATCGAAGACAAACTCCAGAAGGGTGTCCCAGAGACAATTGAGCGTCTCCGACGAGCTAACATCAAAATATGGATGCTCACTGGCGACAAGCGTGAAACGGCCATCAACATCGCCCACTCGGCTCGGCTTTGTCGTCCTACTTCCGACATATATATCCTCGACGCCACCAAAGGAAACTTGGAAGGTCAAATCATGGACATTGTCGACGAGCTAAACATCCGGGCCGAAACCATGCCTACTGCGATTCCCAACCACACCGTAGTAGTGATCGACGGTCACACTTTGGCGGCTTTGGAAGAACCGGCAACACACGGGAATGCCAAAGAACTCTTTTACAGCCTCATCCCGACGATTGACTCGGTTATCTGCTGTCGTGCCTCCCCCGCCCAGAAAGCCTTGCTCGTTACCGCCATCCGTAACCACTCCCATCAACCGAGCACCATCAAAAAGAAGGGCTTCCTCGCCTATCTGATCACACCTAAACGAACACCACCACTTACTCTCGCCATCGGCGATGGTGCCAATGATCTGGCGATGCTCTCAGCTGCCCACGTCGGCGTAGGCATCTCGGGCCGGGAAGGTCTGCAAGCCGCGCGAGTTGCTGATTACGCCGTGTCACAGTTCCGCTTCCTCTCCCGCCTCCTGTTAGTACACGGGAGATGGAATTACGCTCGCACATCCAAGTTCATTGTTGCCACGTTCTGGAAGGAGATGTTCTTCTATCTCCCTACCGAGCTGTATCAGCGCTACACTGGATATACAGGTACCAGTCTTTACGAATCGTGGAGTTTGACGGTGCTGAACACGCTTTTCACCAGTTTGTGCGTGATCGTCCCCGGAGTGTGGGAACAGGACCTGAGCGCAGAAACGCTAATGGCCGTGCCAGAACTGTATGTCTGGGGCCAGAGGGACGGTGGCTTGAATCTGCGGAAGTATCTGGGATGGATGATGGCGGCTGTTGCACAGGGTGTGGTGGTCTGGTGGGTGTGTTGGGGTCTCTACGGTGGGATTGCGGTGAAGGATAATGGTCTGTTTGCTGTGGGCAATTTGGTCTTTACCGTCGCAATTGTCTGGACCAACTTGAAATTGCTGTACGTTTTTGTCCCCTCACCCATTTTCACTCTTTTTTCTTTTTTTTTTCTTTTAGGCACGACACTTACCTGTTAACCAACAACAGCATCATTGACACGCACCACAAGACCGGCATAATCCTTGGCGCATTCGGTATTACCTTTGCAGGCTGGTGGATCTGGCAGATCTTCCTCGCCAGCGCCTACGCCCCGGGTGTCTGGCCTTACGCAGTCCGCGGTGGATTCTTTTCCTCGTTCGGCCCTGATCCAGCCTGGTGGGTTGCTCTCTTTGCGGCCGTCGGCCTGCTCACCGCTGTCGAACTCGGCTACAAATCTACCAAGCGGAATATGATTATATCCGGACTATGGAGGCTGGGATGGAGGAAATGGATGCAGTGGGAGACATGGAAGGGACTCCTTGCACTCGGGAGGGGAGGAGGAGCGAGGGGAGCAGGGCCCATGTGGGCTTGGGATGAAGCAGGTGGTGAGGGTAGGAACGTAGAGGAGTGGGATGTGGAACTTTGGCAGGCTCTGGAGCGGGAGCAAACCGTTAGAGAGGCCTTGAAGGGGATGGCTAGGGTTGGGCATGAGGGCGATGGGCCTGAACCTGAGGAGATATCGAAGGAAGAGGAGGATGATGAGAAGAACAGGGTTGAGGAGACTTCGACGATGGACAGCGAGGGACAGCATGGGTCGGCAGTGGTGGAGAGTCTTCAGATCTCGAAATAGGCTTTCAAGGTTGAACGCTCTCTGCATGTCTGGATTGTGGAAGGCAGTGAGTGTAAGTGGGGAACAGTTTTGGTCTTTGGATTGCTTCTCTTGGATACATACGCATCGAGATACCCTTTCGTATATGATATTATAGATTTCATATCTTTCATAGATGATATTTGAAACACCAACTGCCCAACATCGTGGAACATGGTGGGCATTGACGGCGAGGGGACTCGGGCCGACGGTCATCCACCTACCAATCTCCCTTGGTGATGGCTGACCAACAGTCACGCGAGTGTCAGGCACTAGGCACAACGAACCAACTCAAAGCCTGGTTGCCAGTTTCTACCATACACAAGACATGGGAACCGTGGGGTTTGTGTACTTGTGCCTGTGCCTGTGCATGAGTCTGAGTACCTATGACTGCGACCGCAACGGTGACTGGTGAGTAACCGGGGACAGAGAAAGTTGTCTCTGAACCAAAGGCTTTTGTTTCTCCTCCTGGCTGACCTTGGGCGCCTGGAAGGTGCAATGGGGCGCATGGATTCTGGTGTGCAGATTTAACCGTGGGTCACGGTAGTAAACCGTTAGTTAGCCTGACGAACCAACCCACTCCCTTCACTCTACCCATCAACCGTGAGCAACGCTGGAAAACCAGTTGCACGCCCACGAGCGGAAATATTAGATCAAGTAACTTATGCTAGTAGATGGTAGCTGGTAACTGATAGCTGGTAACCTGGTTGTCAGTGAGGATGTCAGTCAGTCAGTCAGTCAGTCAGTCAGTCAGTCAGTCAGGACGATCTAGCAACCGGGAGGAAGAATCGAAGGATGAAGATACCGAGCAACTCAATTAAAAATTTGCAGACACAATACTGACAAGTTGGTATATGCGAGGAAGTTACTTTAGGAGGCAACTACTGTTATTCGTACTGGAACACGGGCAGTATATCAGCCAAGGTTAAATCATAAGAGCTCTGTTGTTATCTGACTGCTTGTGTGCTGGTGAATATGGTCGGGAGAGTGAATTTGACGAGACAGGATCTTTTTATAAAGAGAGCGGCGTATTTGTGTTAGTGTGTGTGTGTTAGTGTGTGTGTGTTAGTGTGTGTGTGTGTGTGTGTGTCTTGTTCTTTTCTTATTAAAGAATTTGGAGTTGGAGAGGAGGACTCCCAACATCGAAGCGGGTGTGGCAGGTTACATGGATAAAAGCCGTCGAGCGTTGTACGACAGCCCAGTAAAGGTTTGTTTGTTTAACTCGAGACATCGGGTCAACTTACCTAAACGTATTAATATCTAGCTAGTTCGTTTCGTTCTATAATCAAGGCGTGATCTTGCTGCGAATACGCCGTTCCCTATGTCAAATATGTTATTTTCAATTATACCAATGCCTTTGTCATTAGTGTCTAGCGAGACGAAGCAAGTCAGTTTATCCTTGTAAGATTTGGGACAATTAGGTTCAGCATTGAACTGTACATATCGATGACAGGCTTTAGGGTTAGGTATAAGTGGGCTTATAAGTACTAGCTGTTTGTGCACCTTCAACAACAATCGGACCTTATCCGTTCAATCGGGTATGGTGTAGCGGTAACATCGTTGACTCTCACTTCTCAGGAGTGACTGTTCTCTCAACAGCCCCGGGTTCGACTCCCGGTATCCGAGTCTCAAACATTTTTTTTTCTATCTTTTTCATTTTCTTTTTTCCCAAGGATATCCCGGGTTTCATTATCACCATTATGTTGATTTTCCTCCCTTGTTCCTTTTGTTTCCCTAATGTTTTGTTTTTGTTTTTTTTACCTAATTTCGTTGCGTGTAGTGAAGTTGAAACATTCAGGGGAGGGAAGACATCTGCCATTCCTACTTTCTTGTAACAACTACTACAACAACCCAAGCAAGACGATACAAAATTGTTTTGTCGTGCTTTCTCGCAACAGCCATTCTGGGAGACTACTACTCCCGTTTCAAACGTCCGGGATCTCAAAACAACAACTGTAACCGGCACCTTACCATTGTCCCTTCTCGGCATGTCTTGGCTGCTTGAGATTCCGAAATAGGAAACCTTTTCGCTTCAACTCCGGAAAAGTTCAAAGTGGCGTCGCGATCGCACGTGGTAGGCAGGGTTGGCTATGGCCAGATAGTGGTACAAAGGCTGAGGGAGAAACTGTCAGAGATCTCTGGGCATCTGCTTCTTTCTCTGCTGGGTGACCGATGAAATTTTTGCAACCTCCCGGTGACATGGTTTTCAGTGCTCCATCTTCTAATTTTTCACCACACTGGCGTAGTGGCCTCACAGTGTATCCATTTATCGTACAATATGTACATCGTATTCGCCAAGTCTGTGGGGACCGTGGTGACATGGTTCGTCTTGGAGAGAAGGCTTTGTTCCTTATGTCCGCCCCATTTCGTATCGAGGTTTGTATGCAACGTTCCTCGGTAGCGTGAAGCGAGTGTTGCAATATTTCAGTGAGCTTGTATTCCGATCATATCTCGAGCTCGTCTTTTTTTTGCTGTAATGCTGTCCGTAGGTGAAAAATGAGTACGGTTTCGTTTATAGTAGAATCCGTATCCGGAGCTCCTACGTATGTAACGTAGGCAGCAAAATTACACTGAGGTAAGGTGTTTAATTTCCCCTTTATCCTGTTGGTTTCCAGCTGGCTATGCCCTGCATGTTTGAATGGTTGTTTCGAGCAGGGGGCCGAAGCATTCTGTTCGGCGTGCTGTTTCGGGCAAGTCAGGGTGTCATCGGCTCCATGAACTGACATGGGTTGATGAATGAGATCTGTGTAACGTACTTTGAGCTGTCAAATTTGAAGTGGTGTGGTCAAGCTGCCGAGCCTTGTGAGCGCAACGGATGCATCGACGTCCAAGAGGGTCAGATTGGAAGAGAGCTGTAGTGTAGATTTCCCCATGGTTGCGGCGAGTGTACTCGAGAATCAATTCTCATATTCCTCGGACGTTTGTTCCTGGTGACCTGGCCATCCTCGTGAAATATGTTCATAGCTATTGCCAGCCAGCAGTAGGTGATGGCCGGCACTTTGAAGCTTTCGTGAGTCAAGGCCCGCCCTAGGCTCTAGCACCCCACTAGCGCATGGCTCTCGGACGGCCCAAATGTCACGGACCATCGGACGACAAACATGAGGGCTAATTGACGGCTCTGATTGGGCGGTTCTCAAGAGCACTTTCACCGAGGCGATGCGCGATGGTAATGCCTTGTAATCGCGACCTCTTTCCTACGCTACAAGAGATACCTGATGGTTAAATCAAAGTCCGATACCAAGGATTGTCCTGGCCGAGAGACAAGATAAATTGGGGAACTGTGATGGGAACACGGGTTGTTTGTTGTGTTGGCATGGTGAAAATTCAATCGCACCCTCGTCGGCATTGAGTCGAGAAGGCGCAGCCCCGCTGCGTAGGGCTAGAACGGCCCGTAATTTACAGTGTAACGCTCCCTAGATGGATCCCAGCGCTCCTCGAAGCTGATGCCTCCATAAAGTAGACTAGTGGGAGTGGGGTCTGGTGAAGGAAACAGACACGTAAAAACAACGACAGCAATAAGGTTGGTGACGGTTCGGATGCCTTTGGAAGCAAATGACTCGTAGAAGCATCCAATGAATAGCAGAGAAGAAGGAGAAAGGAAATGATGAGCACCTGCCGTTGGTTGGCCCAGCTTATTCCAATCAAGCATTCTGCGGGCTGCAGCCACAAAGCCAAATTATTGACGGTTGGAGGTGTCAAATGGAGCTGATGTGCATGCATCTGCGCGTTGAGGGAGCTGAGCTGCCAGACCGGCGCGCAGCATACGGCAGCAGCGAAGCACCTCATATCCACTTTGTCGGTGAGCAGTCCAGAACGACGACATGAGTTCAAGATTGGATCGATAGTACACTACACAGTAGACCCTTTGAACCCTTTGCAGGTCAGATGAAGTGACTGACGATAGTATGCCGAAGACGGACGATGTCAAAAGACAATCAATGACGGTTACAGTCATGCGGATCAGATGCGCCGTGTCGATTTGGCGAGGGGTAGCACGTCATACAAAGCTTCTTTTATTCCATATCTCAGGCACAAAGCCTGGGCGGCACAGGGGGATCGACGAAACAGAACAACTCAAACCACTGTATGACGGGCCAGACTGGAGTACTGACTCTTGCTCGGTAGGCTTCCAGCTAGCCACTGTTAAGAAGCTGAGGGTGATCTACGCCTAAAACCCGCCCAACTTCTTATCTTCACGCTAGCAGAGACAACAGCCAACGCTACCATTTGCCAGCGCGACCTGCTGCGACCAAAAGTTCCTCTTGGGAAGGGCGCCCAAGTGGAAGGGAAGTCTCGACTGGGGCTGTTTCCCAGTCTCCTGTCTGCCGAGTCTTAGCAGGGGCACTTCGGTTGATCCTACCCAAGACCCGATCCATCCTCGCATCACCCAGGATTCCCTGGTCGCACTCACTTCCTCGTTTCTCCTCCCTCGGCTTCGTTTGTTTCGACCGTGGCGACCGTTGTCACACATCGTAACTGGGTGGGGTGGGCTCCATCGGGCAGACACGAGAAAATGTCAAGCTTGAATCTCGCGCTCGCGAGGTCAGCACTAGAGGTGTTGACTTGTCCCAAACTCTACTCAGACCCACAACGCCTCCAACAGGCTCAGTTCAACACCACGTTCCCGCTTGGCAAGATTTCATTCCCTCCCGCCTATGTCACTCTGCGGCCACTCTCTCGCGCCACTCTCAATACTGCGTAGTGCCCCGGCTGTCAAGGCATCACTAGCCAATGCTGCTACCATTGCTTCATGGGACGGTACCATGGCCGGGGTTTTGATATATTGTATTGTACGGGCGCACTGTACGTGACTAAACATCATCATCATGTCCGCCATCCGCCACAGCCATCACTAGCTTCGGTTGTCTAGCCCGGATGAGGTGACAACGGGTCAAGCTTGATGGGTAAACCCATCGAGAGGTTTCCCGTCCCCGGTTCCCATGAACTCGGCTTCCCCATATATCCTGCCGTTTCCCTGTGTCTCCTTGTTTTGACTCCTTCAAACTCTCTTCGAATGAATGTCACCCAACCCTCCTTTGACACTCCCACCGTAGTATCACATACCGCCTCCGTGCTACAATCCTGACGTCGTCTTACTTTTAGCCTGTCGATTCCCCAACATCAAAGGAACTTCCATACCTGACGGCTCAACACCTCTCGACCTGTTCAGTCACACCCAATATCATCCATACGTGTTACCGGTATTCCATCCGGACTATTATCCCTTGTCTGGTGCCTGACTGTCGCCTTTGTTTCCAACTCTTTGTTGACGCATCACCGGGGACACCAAAGAGACGGCACGACCTCGATTCTGGAAGGCCATCTATAACCCTCAGTCACCGAGTCGAACAACTGGGAATTGGTACCATTACACATCCCGACATACTCTTCCAGTAGAAACTCGATCCACTTCGACAAAATGATGGTTCCATCGTTAAAGGCCCTCTTGATGGGTGAGTATCCCCCAAGTCTGCCACGAGCTATCCGACTAACAACCTACTTTTAGCCTTGTCCACCCCCTTGGCCAACCAGGGCATTCCGACCGACACCTTCGGCAATGGTGGCAAGGCCGTTGCTGCCCTCAGTAACGGCGTTAGCCTACGCATCATGCCACTTGGCGCATCAATAACGTATGGGCAGGCATCGACCGACGGCAACGGTTACCGTAATTCACTGCGCAATGCCATTGTCAAGCTCGGCAACCCAGTCAACATGGTTGGTTCGCGTCATCACGGCACCATGCAGGACAACGATGTCGAGGGCTGGCCAGGCTACAGAATCCACGAGGTCCACGCGAAGGCCCACACCGCCGTGCCCGCGTACAAGCCCAACGTGGTCCTCATCAATGCCGGCACCAATGACGCAGCAGGGAATCTCAACATTTCGACAGCGAGCGACAGGATGGGAGCCATGATCGACGAAGTCTTTGCCGCCAGCCCGCGCGCTGTGGTTATCCTTAGCACGCTCATCATCAACACCTTACCGGCCACTGAGAAGCGCGTGTTGGTCATCAACGACCAGTACAAGGCGTTAGCGCAGCGGATGAGGGATGCGGGTAAGCGAGTGATCCTGGTGGATATGCACGACGCGACCAAGGGCCCAATCCCCGAAGACATGTTCGATTCCACCCATCCTACTGATGTCGGGTACCGCAAGATGGCCAACATATGGTTCCAGGGCCTCGTGGAGGCCAGCAACCTCAAGTGGCTCCAGGCGCCCGAGCCTCTCAGCGGCGTGCCGGATAGCGGGGTGGTCACGGCGAGGATGGTGAAAGAGAAAGCTGGGAAGCGGGCGGAGGTTTTCAAGTCATAATACCACCGCACCGTGGCGACTGGCTGAAGAAACTCGGAGAAATAAAGAAGATAAAACCGATGTTCGAAGGGATGGGTTTGCATGGCTGGCGGAGCCTGGAGTTACGGAGCGTTTTTTTTTTCCCGCAACATTTTTTTGGTTAATGATTTTTTTTTCATTATACCCCCTTCGTTTTAGCGTTGATGGATGACTGATTGAAGGACTTGGGTATTAGATGTAATGAATAGGCCACATGGAGCGAAGAATACGTTCTCTGTTGTGATTGTTATGCCTTCTTTCCATCTGCGTGAAGGACACTAAAGATATCAACTTCATTGTCGTCGTTCAGTTCGTACTGTCTCAATGCCGGTCGTCTTGTCGAGATGACCGTGAATTCTCGATATATGGCTTCATAATAGAAGGTTCATTGTGTCGTCGTCCAAACCCCGCTTAATCGCCCATAGGAATGAACGAGCAACCTGTAGATAAACCTGCCGGATGTGGCATGAGGTTGGGTTGATCCGCACTGTAGGGGCTAGTTGGTGAACGTAGTGTAGATCCATCGCCGCGCCAAGATGGGGAGCAAGTCGAAGGCTTGCACCATGTATCTTGCACACAGACCATATATATGACTACAACCAATATGAGTAAAACAATTCATTCAAGCTTCGTTCAAGCCTATCACAACCTTGACGCCATGTGGCTATTCCTACGTGCGTCATTTTACATCGATTTGTTGGGTCAGGTCTTGGTACGTAGGTACACAGTCGGAATCGAAAGCTTGGTATCTTGGTCTTCTCTTGGCTTGCATCAATCAACATTGTGGCAGATGCTTCGCTCCAAGCATCCGATATTTATTACCGACAGTGTGGTTTGTCCGGCCCGTACCGGTAACCGTCTTGGCTGTTGATTGTGTTGGAGAGATTGACCGACTATCTAGACTTCCATATTTTGTATATGTGAGCGAAGGCAATTGAAGTTATCGTAAAGGTCAGGAAAGGCAAGATAGCTAGGTACATAGCTAGCTGATTGAGCGCTTTCCAAAATTAGTGTAACCCTAGACATGGTCTCAGTCAATTCACACTTGACAATTAACCACCTGCCCATGTATAGCTACCAAGTTTGAAACTTGTTGCCAACCCCAAGACATAACAACATTGTCTGTGTTTTTGCACTCCTGTTTTTTCTACACTACACTACACTACTTCAAACTCCAGAATCAAGAACCATCTCCGAGAACAAAAAACCAAGCTACGTACGGCAAAGAGACATTCAAAGCTGTATGTAACGTCTTCAAATGGTGGCTCCTAAACATTTTTGGTTACACCAGACCACACCACATCACACCAGACTACCATCCCTGACCGTGAAACGTATCAGAGACAGCCAAGCTCACCCCCAAGACTTCTTCCTCATTATGGTACTTGCTTCACCTACCGTCAACGTTACTCATATTGTCACTCCTCCTTCTCCTTCTCTTCTTCTCGAAGCACATGTCTTGGATGCTGGTCACTTCACAACCATCTTACCTTGTGTAGCTCCCCACCTGGAAGTATGACTGATCAACGAAAACTCTGGTACAAACGAAGGGATGTGACACAAACATGTAATCAGCAAAATGTATGAGCTTGCTGCGCAAGTTGAGAGGCATTAAACCAGGTACGGCCCAAGATTTTTTTCCCTTTTTCTCAGGTCTTTTTTTTTTTTTTTTTTTTTTTTTTTTCTTCTTCTTCTTCTCTTTTTTCTCCAGTAAAGGAACTACTTTTACAGACAAGATAATGTCCTGTCAAGACCCCTTCGGACAGAAACCAAAAAAGCGACTTCTCATTGACCCTCAATGATTCACATTTTTATCCCGCCGCGCATCGATGGGGGAATTGAAAAAAAAACAAAGAGTATAAGATCAGGAGATGAGCAACCATGGACAAAAAAATGAATTTCGAGTGACTCGATAACTGGATATGGACGAGCTGGGAATCGAACCCAGGACCTTTCGCATACAGGGGAGTATGCTAAGCGAACGCTCTACCAACTGAGCCACACGCCCGGAAATTGTGAGAATGGGAATAATGAGCTTGGCCTATGATCTCAAAAGTGAACGGAGTGAGCTTTAATACGAGGCATGGAAAGGATGAATGGTGAAGTCGTTGATCGAAGAGAAAGAAGAAAAAGGACAAGAGAAGGTGAGGGACTTTCGATGATGTAAGCATGGCCCATGTGTGTGGATCAAACAATGCCAAGATAACTTACCATCTTGGTCAACAGATGAGGCACTACAAGACACAAGAGAGAAGAAGAGTGCAGATGAATAGCTGGGTTTGTGGAAATGTAGTTCAATTTCATTGTCCCCTAACGTACTGAAACTAGGGTATCAGTGTTACGATATGGATACCAAACGCAAAGGTCAAAAGACTGGCCCTAGTGTGTAAAAAACGTCCATCCTGCTAATCCTAACGCCACTCGCTGCTTATGTAGATGAAAAGCAAATGATCCTGTAAAAAAGAAAAGAGTTCCAACGCCTAAACCCCGCTTTTCCATGCAACGCTCCTCCCCGGAAGTTTTAGACGAAATGATGATGATGATCGTCCTCAATTGGGACATCGGAAGGCAGCTCAGATAATACTGAAAGCGGAAGTCGTGATAGTGCTGATAGAAATGTGAGGTCGGAGATCGTGGTGCCGAGATAATGACCAAAACGTCGAGCAATGACGTCGCTATCAAAAGAAGGTGGCACTGTGGAAACCAGTTGACGATCCAGCCGAAAGCAGTTGAAGCTGATTGCTCCCGTACTTAATACGAGTCGCTAACGACCGACTCCGTCGTCTCGGACATGTCCATGTCGAGGGGGTCCTCACTCGAGAAACTAGCTTGACTAGAGGTGTCGAAACAGGTCAGTTAGTTGAGCCATCCGACAAGTCAAAAGACCCTTCAAACCCCGGAGAACGAGAAAAGACAAAACTTACGATAACTGACTCCAACCCTTCTTGGAACTCGCCCTCGCAATCGCCTCCTCAGCAGCAATGACATGCGGCAACCACGGCTCGGCACCCGCCTCCCAGACCCTCCAGGCCGCCTCCTGTACTTTAGCCGGATTGGTCAAGTCGTCTACAGCGGGGTCGTTGCGGAAGTAGAGGAAGATGCGGCCAAACTGGTCGTAAATAGCCTGTAGTGTCGGCTTTTCGCACTTGCATTCGACGTTCTTGACGAGGATGGAGAGAACGCTGTGGACCTCGGAGCACGTGTTGCAGACCCAGTTGCAAGGGAACGAGTGAGGAATCACCTCCCTGCCGCGCGAGTCCAGCTGGGGGCAATCGGTGCAGTAGCCATGTGTGCATTCGGCCTTGATGCACTGCTGGTCGTGAGAGGAGCCTTCCTCGTTGCATCTGCAGCAGGCTCGGGAACGCGCGGTGAAGAAGCTGGTGGGTTTGATATGGCTAGCCGGCATTGGGGCAGCCTCGACGACGGTGAGCTTTTCCATTGTTTGCGACTGATGGTTTGGCTTGGACGGTGATTGATGTGTGATAGATTCGCTTGCGGGCGAGGTTGGTGGTCCGCGCAGCTAAGGGGACGATGTCGTGTTTTGAGAAAGGTGGAAAAGTAGCAGAACTGAGCCGATGTTGTTTGCCGTGGTGACCGTTATGACGACTGGCAGGAAGTGAAGAGTGTCTGCCAATAAGGTTTATGATGTTGAGGTTTGATAAGCTTCCGAAGACGGAAGGGGGGTGGTCAACAAGGTTCTTGGTTGCCAAGGGACAGTAATGCGTGGGGTGTCAAGGTCGCAATGGTCGCTGTTGAGAGCTTTATCCAAGGACGGCAAGTAAGACGGGCGAGAGAGATGTAACAGGAAACAACTTTCAGCAAGGTCGACGAACCGTGACCGAGGAGGAGGGGCGACATTTTGTTTTCAGAGATTTTATATCATAAATGGAGTTCGAGCAATTGGCCGAGGCAGATCCGGCATGCCGTTGTCGCCGAGATCCAAGCTTGGAGGCGCCCCCAGTTGCCTAGGCCACTAGCGTAGCTGCATCCACTGAGGTGCCCAAGTTCCACCTGCTAGTGCCGCGATCCCGCTGTGATGCTATCCTGATCCCAGAAGCTGAGATGCCATTTGGCGATACAAAGTCGCCCTGAAACGACCCTTTGCTTTCTTCCACCACATCGTAATCTTCTGTTGAGAAAGTCTGCAAGGTAGAGAGAGGTAGTCACATGTAGATCAAAAACTGGCTTTCGGTTCGGCCGTGAGTTTGAGTCCCCTACCCTTGAACCTCTCACGCCTCTCTCTCGCTTTAGCCATCATCGGTGGCAGACTGGCTTCCGGACTTCCCCTTTCGTTGTCCGGGCGTGATGGGTATGGTCAGCCCTGAAGATGGATGATCTCCAAATAGATGACATCTCTTTGAAGTATCAACCCGGGGTGCATCGATCCGGCTGCAGCCATTAGCTCACGATATGGTAACAGAGATTATGGGACTGCTATCCAAGCTATCCTTTTTGCCGACAGCATTCATCAGAGGCGCATTAAAAACGGCACTTGCCATTATGGTGTCCTCTCAGCCTTTCTTCCACACTTGAGAAGATGTTCAAATCCGGAGTCACCCGGTGATTCATTGTGAGCAAAAGGACACAATGCCGAGATAACAGTGAACACAGAGACCAGGCAAAATGAAGCGAGAAGATATGTAGTGTATTTTTGTGCACACCTGTGTTGTTGTGATCGGCGCTCCCAAGGACAAAGGCCGAACTCCAGCTTCGGACGATCCCCACCTGATGGGCCTTGAGTATTCCGGGACCGTGACAGAATGTGTGTATCAGCAAAACTCCGAATGCATGCAAGCAAGATAATTCCGTCGAGAATTGACACTTTGAGCCTTGATCAAAACGGGTGGAACATATGCGTCTGCATCGTTGATGGCAGAAATGACGATAAAACAGATGGTCGGCGCTAGTGCAGTGGCGGACATGATGTCGATATTGCCGCTGGTCGTTATCGCTGTCTTTATCGTTTGAATAGCAAAGTCCATTAAACAGGTGTGACGTTCGCTCGGTTGATTGGTTCGAGTGGAGAGAGAAGATTTGGATAAAAGTTGTTGGGAATCTTGGCTCGACGTTTGCGCAGATGTTTGTTGAGGAAAATGGAAAAGATTGCAAAGCATGTGAGGGGTTCCGAAAAAGCCTAGGCCATGCTCCACTATTCATGCTTAAAATCGTCGCTAGTGATAGCGGCGAGGACAGCGGCGGGGCAGGGCTGCCCGACGGTAGTGTACGCTACCCTACCCCACACAGCCCGAGAAGCGAACCTAACCATCTCCGCAACTGCCACCGATAACCCCATAGTTCGTTGACGTTGACACATGGCGTGCGGGGAAGGAAGCTGAAGTGTCAACGTTAACCGGGCCGGATAAATCGACTGTGTGCCCAGATATTTCGGCGGTGTGGGGGCCGCCTGGCCAATGATACACCCATGTTTGCGCCCGCCAAATTCCCACCAAAATGACATGTGTGCAACATCCACACCAAAATTGCATAGGGATTTATATAGACGAGGCTTTCTAAGATACTAATTCACGTAAATATACTAAAATCGTAGAGTTCATATTTATACTAGTATAATTACAAATATACTAGTATTGATACTACTAGTCCGATTGGGAGAACTAGTATAACTATTAAGATTACTATTAGCTAAATAGTAGCGGCTAGTAAGGATTTAAATACCGTAGCTACTATAAAGGAGGGGGCAGCATTATTAGCTGGCGGGTAGGCTAGTAATATTACTATTGTTAATACCTATAGTATACTAGTAACGGCGGCGGCGGTTAAGACTATTATTAATTCGTAAGTTCCCGCAACCGTGCCTCTAGCTGTGCCTCTCTTTGCTGTAACTCCCTCAATTCCTAGAATTGTATTTTCAATCTCTCTATCTCTAGCCTCGCGCTCTCTATTACCACCTTAGCCTTTTACTCCCTCTAATTAGCTAATACCGCTTTAATTATCTTCCTCTTCTTAGGAGAAGGCTGTATTAAAGCTTTAGGGGGGGTAATATAAAATAGATTATATTTAATATTAGAGGAGGGGAGGGGAGGGAGAGCGGGTATAGTAGGTATAGGTTGGGTATTGTTACAAACTTTCTAGTAGTTAGTAATAATAGGGAAGTGTCATAGGACTAGCACCCGACAAGGCATCTAGCTCTAACTGGCCAGATTTGAGTACCAAGACGGCAACCCGTATTAAGACTGCCCCAATCAACTCGGACTGCGGTACCGCGGCGCCCTAAACTTCTAGAGTATTCTCCCGCTAACTTAAGTTATAAGGTACTATTATTAAAGCATACGGCTATTTAAACTCTAGTACTCAATCTACCCAAAGGGTAGCGTTTTCTCCTTTCTTTCTTCGTAGAATTTTAATATATATATAGTAGCCAGTACCCGCGTATCGCTCTGCTGTCCCCTTATAGAAGGGGATCTCTCTCCTTGTATAATATTAGCTATTATATAAATAAAGGCTATAAGAGATATAGTTAGTATATTAAATAAACAATAGTTAATAAAAGGATATAATAAAGGGATATTTAATTACTATGTCTAGTTTGAGTAACTAGTGTTTATCGATTATACTTTGGAGTATAGTACTATTTAACTGTATAATATTAAATATCCTATACTAGTAGGGTAAGTTATATTGCCTCGTAAAGTAGGTAGAGTATTTTGCTTTTAATTTTTCTAAGTTAAATTGTAATTGTTTAAAATTATTATTAATCAATTAAGTTTACTATTAAAGTAATTCAAAATAAACGAAGTTGGTAATAAATTTTAAGTCTATTAGGGTAGTATACTTGAATTTCGCTACGTTTTTCGAGATTTAATACGTATATTTAATTATAAAATTCTCTTTTAACTATTTAAAGGTTTCAATAATAGTTGTTAGTAATTAGTTGAAATTAATATGATGATTTTTAAGTAGTACTTTTAAAACACTATAGGCACTTTTTGTATGGGAAGTTACTCGTATACTAAAATTACAGTATAATTTAATAGCGAAATAAGTAAATTCGTACTTTAAAGGGAGGTAAATATAAAGAAGGTAGTTAATTATAATTATAAAAAGAGGGATTAGTAATTATATAAATAATAATGGATAGATATAATAATTATACCTTTTTACTTGAGGAATTCCCTTAATAATACCCGCTATTACTAGTAGAATCCCTCCTCTATATTAAAATATACTATTGCCTTCTACAAAGTTAAAATCCTATTTATATTGTTAATTTATTTACAGTTTAAATTATAGGGGGTACGATTATTAATAGGCTAAATAAAGGGATTTTTAATTCCTAACCCGAGGTAGTAACTCTAATTATCCATATTTAATAATTAGGCAGCTACTTAGCGGATAATAGAATTTTTATTAGCGGGGTTAATATTTATATAATAGTAATTCTTACGGAAATAATTCCCGTTACTACTACAATTACTTAATATTATACTCTTAAAATTACTTTCTTATTTCTTTTTAACGTAAAAGGTGACGTTCTTTATTATATACTAGAAATAGATTTAGTACTAAGTAATAAGAAAGATTACTTGGCAAACTCTCTTATACGCTTTATTGTAATTAGTAATAATAATTAGAGGGTGGGAGATACTATATTTTACAAATATAGCCTCGATTTATTAAAATACTTATATAAAGTATACTTCCTTTTCGCCACTTAGTAAATAGTAACCAATATTGAAAGTCGTATATATAGTTATTATCCTATATATTTAAAGAAGTGGTATGTCGAATTTATTGACTTTATACGTATAGTCTAAGCTTATAACCTTGGGATTCTTCCTCAACTGTTTAATATACTATAAATAAATTTAAAAGATTCTCTCGATTAGCCCAAACTCCTCGCCGTTGTAGCGGTAGACTTTATAATAAATTCTCTTTATTAATTGTAACTAGTTAAAAAATTATTAGGTCAGTATAAGGGCGCCCGCTTACTTTATTTTATTAGCCGCTAATATATTAAATATATTACATTATGTAATAGTAATACTAGGGAATTCGTTATAGATAATAAATATAATATCTAACGAGGAAGTTTTTAGCTATTTGGCTAACTAAAGGATATTAATAGTTACTTCCTTTATATAATATTAGCGATAGTTAATAGTAAAATAATTAATATTATTAGGATTAAGGGGATAGTTGTAGTCCCCCCTTATAAGGGTAAATTATTATACTATAATTTTAGTATTAAATATTAGCTTTCCCTATCATTTACAATTTCTTTTTATATTCGCTACTAATAATCTTTAGAGTAGAATATCCTCCTCGCGCTTTTTACTACGCTTCTTTACTATAATATATTTAATATTATACCAGCTAGTAAACCGAGTTGTAACCTTTCGTCAGTAATTACTAATATAGTATTTACAAATACTAAATCCGAATTATCTAGTGATGTTATTAATCTCTTTAATAGCAGCGACGACGTTAGTCTATTAACGAGAAGAAAATTTAAAGAGGGCGGGTTTACTTTTATTAATATTATTATCCTTCTCGGTCGCTTTATCCTAGTCCCTCGA